TGTACTGCAGAGTGACTATTCGTTGACTATTGATTTACCCCAAACAGCATTATAGAGGCAACAAGCACTTTAAAAAGTCTAATAATTCCACTGCAGGAAGATTCAACCATGTATGACATTTTAGCGTGTAATTGTTGACTTCTCCCTGATGCTTGTGTGTGTTTGTGCGTGCGTGTGTGTTTTCTTCCCCCACATATTTGTTCCCCCCCAGTGACATGAGCATTTTGATGGAGTTGAGGATTGCTGGACTTTGGCTTCAGGAGAATTTAATAGCTTTCATTTCCCAGCCTGTTTGACCTTCACCATGCCTCACATTAGCTATGCATTAGCCTTAAAGTCTCACATGGCCAGGTACATCTGCACCGTCACTTTAGTATATTCTTTCCCTCTACGCTCCCCTGAGCCTTGCAGCCTGCGCCCCACTGATACTAGACGAGCTCCAACCACCAGGGATCACGCCTGGAATGCTACCTCTCAAATAGCAATGCAGACTGTCTGTGTCTGTTTGTGTTTGTTTCTTGTAAGGTGACATTCTGTCGTAGTGAGCAGTGAACTTTGTGGCTCTTTTGTTACCCTGTTGTTTTGTCTAGTTGTTTTTCGTCTGCACATTTCAAGCCCCAAATATAAATCAAAGAACGAATGCTTGTCAGTGATGTTTCTTGGTAGTTCAAAGGAAAAACTTTTGTAGAAAATTGTATGCATGTGACAGATCTTATTAGAAGCATTCATCACTTGCTGGTTAGCACAGATATCTTTTAGCCTGTTTGCACAAACTGCAAGGACTAATTTGAGCATCCTGAAGCCTGCATGTTGACGTTGACACATATATTATTTAGTGTTCGAATGTCTATCCTCATCAGCAACAATTGCAGAGGATAAAATCCTTTCTCTGCACAGTCCTCAGTCCCACTCGAATTGTGTCGGCTTATCAAAGGCTGGAAGAAGCAAGAGTGCAGATTAGTTTCCATTCAGGCCCAATCTAATCCATTCAGCTCACTCTCTCATAATGTGTCACTGCCAGTCACTCAAACAGCTAAGCACAACAGCGGTGTATGTTAACCAAATGAACACAATTTGGACATAGCCATAAATAGCGTACGCCGGGCTTTTTTACTGTTATTTGAAATCTAAGTCCTCTAAATAGTCTATTCATTGCTGTTTACCATGGGCGGGATTGTTTCATATTGGGACGAATGAGGCAATCTTTTTTTTTTCCTTTCACCGTCTGTCTGGATAGTAATTGAAAACAATTATCTAGTGCTTTGCTCTGATTTGTGTCTCTTTCATCAGCTAAACCGTGTATGGCATTATCTTTAATATCCTTCCACCGCAGCTCAAAACCACCCAGAGCAGATACATGAATTCCCCTTAACGGTGTTGTGGACATTTCGATTAATCCAAATCAATACGTGTGCGTGGTTTACACATTGTGAGGGATTCAGTCGGGCTGCGGGAGCACTTCTTAAAGTAAAACGCTCCCCACAGTGTTGATCTGGTGTACACGCCAGAATGAACATCCACTTGGGGTTAAGTCAGAAAAAGGGCATTAAGCTAGTGTCAGTGATATGAAGAAATAATTGCACACAATGCAGCGTTTAGCTACCGTGTGCAGGTAGTAGATGAAATAAAACCAGGATGTCCAGTTGAAGAAATACCCCCCTATGATTCTTTGAGACGTGTTGTATTATTCTAAAGCAGTGTGTTGTCGGAGGGGATTGCATTAAGCTGCAGAAAAAGATGCGTTATTCCCCACTGGAATGCCGTGTGCTTCTCAGGCTCGGCCCGCTCTGCACTGCGACACTGCAGTGATCTAATTGGATCGAATGAGGGAAAACCTGGTTTGTTTTGCAGCAGTGCCATCGTCTAATCCTAAGGGAGACGGGGATAAGAAAACGCCTTCCACTTCCAGCTGAGCCAAAGTCCCTGCGTGGTTTCTCTCGGATGTGGAAATTAATAAATCAACCTGTTGGCCATTTTATCATCCCCAGCAGGTCTGTGACCTTCTGACTTTGACCAACAGATGAAACGTACTGTCTCGTAGACAGACAGATTGATGTATTCGTTATTCATCCCCAGAGGCATTTGTGTGTAGCAGCAGGTAAGGTTACATAGTAAACGTGTGGTATACAGTAAGTATTTTGTATGGAATTAAAAATGCACAGTAAGAACTCAATAAAATAACAGAGCAAATCATATTCAATTGAGGAAATAAATAGAAAAAACAGAATTGCACAAAATGACCAACCCAGGTATTGCCAATAATTGCACTTGCTTGCAAAATGTGTACATTAAAAACTGGCTTTGCAAAGAAAATCAATAAAAAGTAATTAGAGAATAATGGTATTTGATATCTGTTGCATAGACGCAAGGAACGATGGACCCATTGAAACGTTGTTGGCTGATTGTGCAAATGGCTAGCATTATCAAATCAAATGTAATATTTCTTCTTGTATAATACAAAAAGATTACAACTTAAACGCAAACAAGTACAATATGAGATCCTTGTTTCCCACACGTAGATGCGTACGTTGTTCAATGGTACGGCTGAAGGGTCAAACAGTGAATATGGAGGCAGTGATTCCTCCAGGGGTCATAATTACAGGCCTTTTCTTCGGATTGATGGTCTTTGTTGGATTTGAATTTTCATGCGTGATGCACATTTGCATAACAAGCAAAACAAATTGTCCACTTTTTTTTTTGGAGCAGATTGACGAACCCTTCCTAATGATCATGTATCAACAGGCCCGCGGTCCAGAAATGCCAGTTCTAGTCGTTGCACACATCATCTCGGGACGCCTCGTTATTTCTCGTTGGCTCGTAACTTGGTTACAAGTGATAAAACTTGTGGGCTGCAAATTTACAACGAAGTAATTATGGCTTACAAACATTGTACAAGCGGACTCGCACACAAAAAGACTGACCTAAAATGCTTTATTTGCTGTCAGGGTGACTTTAACAAGTCCTCATAGTATGTCTTGTTCTCTGCGGTGCTTTCTTTCTCACTGTCGCCGTACATAAGCATTCTTCCATCCCCTCATCCCCTTGCTGTTATTTACAGGCGGCCCGAGTCTCACAGATGGGGTGTCATAAACCTCGACAGTGAAATGTCTCCCTTCTCCCTCATCCACTGTTCCTTTTGCCAGCTGAACTGTATTTTTTTTTCACATCAAAAAATCACATTGCATTTTGGGATTGTTGGCTATTGTTAGTTAGTAACATTTTTGATGGCCCTGCATAATCCTATACACACTTGACGTTATGTTGTGTGTCTCCCACTGCAGCCATTGCTGATTATAGAAGAGAAGAGTATCCACCCGTATTTACTGTGCTGGCGGGAGAACGGAAGCGAGGGAGGAATTGATAGAATAGAATCAACCTTTTCCCATCTGTTTATTATTCATTTGTAATAATTCAATCAGTCACACGGATGATTCAGAATATGCCAGTGAATGTTAATCATGCAATTCTCCTTTTTGCCATGAAATCTGAGCAACAATCGCAGAGAGAAACCTCAATACACTGATAGTCACAGCAACACAAACACGACTCCTTCTTATCATCCATCCATGAGTGTGAAAAACAGACCTGACGGAATGAAAGGAAGGAAGAAGTGTGTGTTGGTAGGTGAACGTGTGCGTCTGTGGGGCTCCGCGTGGGTTTGTTTGCCCGGGGGTACGTATATAATGGGGTTTTATTAAGTAGGTGTGAGAACAGGAGGAACAGACAGGAGTGATAGAGAAGCACAAAGGAACCCGAAGCGATTAAACCCCTACTCACATCAGCTTAGCGGCGAAAGCTTCACAGAGAGCCAACAATGGTCGCCTTCTTTTAAATCGGGCTACTTTCTCCCTTTATTTCTCCCTATTTACCCCTCCCCCTGTTCTCTCCCCCTCTCAAACAGATTATTTCCTTTCTTTTTCTTTGTCGGTCTTCTTTGCGGCGCGTTAGGCCGCTTAGCTTTACAATACTCGTGTCAGGTCGAACCCCCCCACACCTCCAATGCCTCCAATCCTGGATTAGAACGGTCGTGCTGCATAAGATATTACTGCGTCTCAGACGTCAACCGCCGCCAAAGTCTTTCTTTCATTTGTTCATTACGACCTCTTTCTTTCTTTTCCATGTTTTTTCAAAGAGTTTTAGGAAACTGTGGTGTTTCCAGGTTGTCAATGCACAGAAAGTTGTTATCCAAAGGGGATTAAACTTCATACGGGATTAGACGTGAACACGAGTGTGTGGGTTTGTGGGAGCCGAATAGGAGACGGTTTAAGTTGTATCAGATTTCGGGCCGGTTGACTTCTCACAGAATTTCTCTCAGGGCAAAACACTGATGGCTTCATCAGTGTTTTGTCTCTCACTCCTGCTTTAATACTGAATTCATAATGGCCAAATGGATGCAGTTGTCTCCACCCACATTCCCTTTAGGGACTCCCACCTGTAGGGAGTTCCCGTGCAATGAGTCAAGGGATCCCCTTGGAACGGGAACCAGTGAATTCCTAAACGCCACAAAGAGTTCAGGCCTCCCGACTGACCAAACCACTGTTGTACTGCACCTGCTGTGGTATTAAGAGCGGGAGGAATCTGCCCCCCCCCCACCTCCTTCCCACCGACATCCACATCTCCACCTGCCCTTGGCATTGCCCATGAATGCCAGTCATTAAGACAGCTTTTCAAAGGCGAGGCCCACCTCTTCCCCCAACGGAGCGGCTCCACTTCCACGTATAGAGCAGCCATTGTTTTAAATGCCACTGCTCCCACCCCGTGGAGAGCGAGTCTCCATTCACCGGCAGGGAGGCAATATGATAAATGTGTCTCAACTCCATCCATCACGGAGCGGCAGGACATTCTCTTTTTCCCCAGGTGCCAACAGATTTAAAGGAGTAGGACCCGGTTCGGGTTACTACGTCAGCGTACATACGCGTGTGTGTGTGTGTGTGTCTCTCTCTCTCTTATCCCTGAATAACGCTCCCCCCTTCTGTGTTTTTTTTTTTCTTTTTTCCCAGGTGCACCAGAAAGGAGAAATGCGAGCGCTCATCAGAGCCCCGTCGCTTCGCGTCAGACATCAAGCAGTGTGTGCGTCTCAGTGTCCACCCGAACAACATCTCAGTGTCCCAGTTCAGTGTCACGGTAGGTGGGCAGTAAACGCACATCTACACTAAAAGACAAACAATGACCTCTTCTCACGCAATTACACATTCTTTACTCCTTAATAAATGTGCCAGGGGCCTTTTTTCTTTTGGGATTCTAGTCCTGAAATGGATAATGGATGCTATTACCTCGTAGTATAATTATGATGCTTCTCTCTTGTTCCATGTGCAGGATAGGGCGTTTTTCAATGAGAGGCGATCCATTAGATTTCCCTTTCAATACGGAGGAAACACTTCAGGAAGCATTTGTTTCAGTTGTGCCATGTTGCAGTAAACAGGGAGCCTAGCTGAATGTGTTGCTAGTGAGAAAATGCTGTCTGGCAGATTGACAATATTACACACTGGAGCTTAATGTGTAATGCAATGTAATTATGCTGCAGATACTCATTAGTAGACCGTGTTGACTGTAGTCCTGCTTTACATCATTTTATTGGCTGCCAACATGAATCCTTTGAATCCTGACCTTGCATCTAACTGTCCTGTTTGGTGAAATGAGCTCCCAAAGAATGTCAACAATCATTATACGCATACAGTTTATCTCAGTTCTGTCTATTGTGACTAAATGCAACAGTTCACCCCTCGACATTTCATTCTGAGGCAACTACCTGATTTGAGGCTCTGTGGTGTTTTTTTTTTTTTTTTTGTCGAGCTTTGGAACACAAATAGTTCCCTGCAGGGAAATACATTTGTTATTTTTTGTTTTTTGTACTGCACTTTTCAGCGGCGTCTGTGTCTGCACGCTGTTAGATGATAACGTGATATGATAAAGGGTCACGGTCTTTTGTATGTTATTTATCTTGCTTTTTTTATTTAGCTGATTTAGCTCGTGTTTCATTTGAGTGAAATGAAGACCCATGGGAGTTTCTGTGCGATGTTCAGAAGAATGTTCCCGTGACCTTAACCACGTGAAGTGGTGTCACGTTTAAACTCCCCTTTCCTATATAGTGGAGTATTGGAAATGCCTTTGAATCTCAGAGACTAAGTGCATGAATATAAAATATATGATTTTCTAAGGTCAAGCCTAAATAACTATTCTGCACCCGTGTTGCTCTAAGGGGCCACACAAGAGGTGTTGATTTTCTGAGGTACACCTCTGCATCACTCTAATGATATTCATGGGGTTTGTGTGTGTGTGTGTGTGTGTGTGTGTGTGTTGCTCAAACTTGATCCTTTGGAGAGTGTTTAACCTTTTCCCAGCAAGCAGGCTTTGCAACATATCTCCCATCCAACTGATTGCAGGGCAGAGGCTTCTGCTAGACAGACGGGGGCTCCTCCTTGACCTTTGTGTTATTAAATATTTGTTGGGAAGATAAGCACAAAGGCAGTCTCAAATGGCAGACCACTGCTGAAATCAGACCCATTTAAAAAAAAAAAGAGTGTCTCACAATTAATCATCTCTTTGTTTATTAAAAGCGTCTAGGAAGAGGAGGAGAAATTATCCTATATTTATATATAGGATAATATATATAGTGTGTGTAATATGGCAGATATACTCATATCCATGCTGCCCTACTCTGGCTAGACTTGGCTTTGACTACACTTAATTTAGGAAACTCAAGGTCTGGCAAAGGAAAAATAAATTAAAGCCATAGTAGAAGTAGAAGGTGAGAGGAAAAGCAATGAAGCAGAGATGGGATGTGTTCGAGATGGAAGCCCGGTCGTGCACTGTCCGTCTTACGTGGGAAGCTGTGTATCTGTTCAAACCCACGCCACCTTCTTTTCATTAAACAGCAATATAAAAACAGCACAGGTCAGCCCTTCTCTGCCGCCGAGGCAGCTCTCAGCCCAACGTTACAAGTGTTCTATGGACTTGCCCCAAATCAATGCCCAGAGCAAGGCCCAATGCAGACACACCTTTCCATCAATATGTATATTTTGGTCTTGATCCCAATCCACTTTGCTCCGCGACCCTCTTTTTATCCCGTCTTATTCAAGGACAGGATCTTTCTTTTTTTTTTTTTTCCTCCCGAAGCACCGGATACTAATTTCTGCTGCGGTGCAGAGAGAACCTACTCAGCGTTTCTCCAATGCAGAGGAAAGATTTGCATTCTATAGGTCACAAAAAGTACACTTTCATCTGCATGTTCAGGTGGCGCTGTGCTATTTCTACCCTCTCGTCGCCTCATCCATCCACTTAACCTGACTCTCTGCTTCTATCATTCTTCTTACTTTCTACCACTGAGACGCGCTGAGCTAGAGAGATGGGATGTTACTGTAGATCCATAAAGCTCATCAATTGCACAACAATGTCAGTGTTTGCAGTTATTTTAATGTCCGGCCAGGATGCATCTGATGGCTGTTCATATATTTACTTGTCATTCAGTCCCAGAGGAGCTCGCTCAGCCTGTGAGCGCCCTGCACAGGGATCGTTACGCGGTGCAGAACATGCAGCTGTTATTCCGCTTCCTCCTGTTCTGTTTCAAAGTGCACATTGGCTCTAAGCTTTCTTTTTTCTACTGTGTGCTGCTACCAATGGGAAGCCATTGAAACTTAACTGGATTCCACCTACGTGTTGTTTCCTTGTGATATGATGTTTAACATAATATTATAGCTGCTTATCACTGTCATGAGTAACGCACTCTTCCATCTCCCCCTTTTCCCAGTTGGTGTTGGAGGCCCATAACGTGCCAGAACTTTCTGCCGGTGTCAACTGCACCTTTGAGGATCTGGCTGAGATGAATGGTTTGGTGGAGGGAAACCGGATCAAGTGCTACTCCCCCGCTGAGAAAGAAATGCCGCGGATTATTGTTGACAAAGGTAAGGGTGGAAGAATCGTAACCTTTTTGCCAATAAAGCCGCAAACTGGGGAAATGCACGACTCACATACCAACCAGTGGAGGATTTCCCACTGCGGGCGTTAGATTTGAACATTTATATTGTGTACATGACATCAACACCTTGGAAAATGCCGAGGAAGCCCGCCGATAATCTCTTAAAAGGTCATTATTTTTATTACTAATACAGATGTCCATAAAACGTGACTGCCATCAACCGCTGGATATACAAATTAGAGCACCTGTTGTATGCAAAAATATAAAAATATAATATCTGTCAAGGCAGGATGGTTTTCCTTTCATTCTTTCTTTGAATTTTTGTTTTCCTCGTTGTTTATCAGTAACTCGGTGGGCCTTGGAGCTCTGCCCTAGGACATGTTTAGTAATTGAGTGAACATTAGGTATTAGGCTGCTGTGGGATCTATTCTCTAGCCTCACTCAAAGTGGATGTGCTCCGGAGGGAGAGATGGGACTTAACCTCAGTGTTAAAAGGGAGAATATCAAGCTGCACAACTAAGTGTTTTTATTTCAGTATTTTGGGCTAATTTAGTGCCGGGAGATTTCATGCTCCCCGCAGACAATGTCACTGTTTCCATTCCTTTCAAGAGGAAAACAGCCAAAGCATTTCTGACAACATTCCTTCCACAAGCACAGAAAGGGAGAAATAGCTTTTTTTTCTCGTCTTTTTGATTCCCCTGCTCTCCCTCTCCCCTCCCTGTGGTTGGCTAAGCCTACTCTAATTGAACACAGTTCCCATCTAGGAAGGCCTGTCCCCAGACAGACCGTCCTTCATCACCAACGTGCCCTCGTGTTGAAATAATGAAGAAGCTACTTCCACAAAAGGACCAAATGAATAATGAATGAAAAAAATGAAAAAACATGGTGAAGCATCAATTATGGTCAAAATGTACATATAAAGGAATGCTCACTGTGCCATTCACACATGCGTGTGTGTCGGAAGTGTAAATATCGGAGCCAAAAACACAAGATACGTGAAGTAAATTACAGCGCTGGTTAGACCTTGTAGGCCTCAGCTGTATATAACCAGGAATATTCAAGTTTCTCTTCATCACTGCACCAACGTGAAGCCTCATACACGCACCCACACACACACACACACTCGGCCATGAGCTAACACGGAGCACGACTGAAATCCTCCGTGAGACAGCACACGTGTACATAGGTAAGGCTGACAGGGTGCCCGAGGGCGCTTTGGGGAATCAAAAACATTTGCTTGATGTGTGCCATCATGTCAACCACATTTAACGCACATTTAACACGAATTGCTTCTCCCAACATTGCCTCTCTGCAAACATACACAAATATATACTTTCCCTGTTTCAGAGAGAAGAAAATATTCCACATTTTGCCTATATTTGACTAAGCTGGGTTAAAGAGAGAGAGGAGTGAAGAGAGATGGAGGGAGGGGTGGTTAGATGATGCTACCAGGCCTCAAGGTAACAGTTAGGTGGCCTAATTAGGACAGATCCGTTGTCATCTGTGCTTTACTGTGATTGATGAATGATTCCTTCTTTGTTAGAGAGATGGAAAGAGACAGGGGGGGAGACGAGGGAGTCGCAAGTGTGGAAGGCAGCGGAGGAGACCTGTGTGTGGAGATGGAGGGATGATGAGAGAGACCGAGAGAGAGAGGCAGTGTCGAGACAGAGCAGTTAGATGTGTGCGCATTTGCTGTTGAATTAAACATGAACTTCTTCATTAGGGCCAGACAAAAGGACACACTATATACACATGAGGTGCAAGCTCACACACACACACACACACTTTTACCCACGGTTACTGTTTGATCTTCTCCCCCTTTTACCTTGTCAAAGACTCTACCGGAGGAAAATGTTCCATCCCGAGGGGAATGCTTGTGCACCAACTTTTAGTCTCTCATAAGGTTTTCCGGTATTGGGGAACGTAATCCAACACAACCTTTGTACGAGGTAACAGCACTGCCTTCACCACGGCAACAGGCGGAGCACCTGTGTCTCGCAGTCGTGCAGTGGTCTCTTCTTCATGGGAACATGAAATGTGACTAGACTAGAATAAAAAGATTGGTAGTATTGACATGAAACTATTGTTATTTTGCTCCTATTTGTTTCAAAATGAAACTCAATTTATACTTTTGAAAGAAAAGCAATTATTATATTTATCATTATTTTTCTCTGTCTTTCATACCTGAATGCAAAACTATTTCACAGCATGAAACTAACTGTTTTATCTGTAATCTGTTTGTTTGTTTTTCAAGGTGACCATCAGATTGTGCAACTCTATCTCAAGTCCAAGGAGACCGGCCTGGCATTCGCTAATACCAGTTTTGTTTTCTACAACTGTAGTGTGCACAAGTCGTAAGTCTGTGTTTACTACTAGCTCCCTGGAGTGCTTCTCTCTAGCAGACAGCTCGTCATCATACTAATCTCTTGCCTATTGACTAAAACAATAGGATTGATTCTGAAACTGTTGGAAATTGTATATTATACGTGAATAAGTAGGCATATTGAGCTTTTTTGCTGCTGTTCAATACTAATCCCCCACCCCCTTTCAATCTGATCTGATCTCTCCATTTAGATGTATTTCGTGCGTGAGCAGTCCTTACCAGTGCCACTGGTGCAAATACCGGCATGACTGCACCCACGACCCGCGCACGTGTTCCTTCCAGGAAGGCCGAGTCAAGAAGCCTGAGGTGAGTCCTAGGCCACAGGTGTAGTGCAGACATGTTTATTTGTTCAGTCACCAAGCCCCCCCCACCCTGCAGTTGTTGCTTTGTGAGTAAAACAATTTCTATGAGCACCTCTTCCTGTGGGTTCAAATACATTCACCTGTAGCCCAGTGAGACCAGTGTCCGAGAATCCCATGGCGGTTTTTAATGCCGCTATTGCGCCGGCTCAGTAATAAAACATGGTGAAATAAATTGAGAGGAAAGGTTTGGCCACGTGACGCTAATGGCGATCCTTTCTCGGTTTCACATGTAAAAAGAGTTAAGAGGGCCGAGAACACCTTTCAGCTGCAGCGCTCCCATCTGGAACGAGTCTCTTGGCATGTCTCCTTCTTGACTGCACATCAAAGGGCAGTGGGAACTAATAAAACGGAGCCATTTCCTCCCCGTTCCCCCGCAACAGCTTAGTCCGTGTGAATTATCGATAGTATTGGCAGCCGGTTCTATTCCCGTCGCCGCAGAGCCCGGCGTAATTACGCTGCTCTGCTGCAGAGGACAAGCCACTCACTGGCCCCCAACAGCCCCCCCTCCCCCCCTCGCCTGTCGACTTTCGTGAGAGGTCCCACTCTGATTCTGAGTCACAGTAGCGGTGTGGAGCACGGAGGTAAAGGACGGAGCCTGTGTGTGCGTGTGTGAGAGAGTTTTTTGGGCTGCCTGTCCTCAATCAACTCTTGGTGGTTTTCAAGGAGAGGCTTCTCGGGGAGTTAGTAGCGTGTTAATCCTCGCCCGAGGTGAGCTCTGATGAAGATCACTAGTGCTCATGTCTGGGTTGGCAGACGCCGCACGGCGGACAGGGACGAGCTTAGCCAGATTGCCTCCTTTGATGAGCAGTCTGCTCTCAATTGTGTTATCCCACCCGTGCCCCCCCCCTCCCCCCCTCCCCGAAGCCATTCAACCCGCAGAGACAATATTATTTCCTTTTTCCACAATTTCCATTATCCTTTTGAACCTTCTGCTTAGTCAGGCCGCAGCCCGAGTCTTTGCAGGTTTACTTTTCCAATTAACTCAGAGGCTGGCCGTCAATATTGACGGAGGATAATAATGTACGAGTCCTCTTGTATTGTGTTGCTGACTAAAAGAAAGCCGTAAGTAAAGCGAAGGGGATTTGGTATTAGCACATTAATGGCGTCCCCTTTTTGACGCGTAGTTACGGAAGAAGCAGGTGTTTTGCGGGCTTAATAACTTTTAATTTGCTTTTAATTAACCCCTCAAATCCAAGGTCATGCATTTGCTGGCCGATTCCAGGTTTACCGCTTGTTGTTAATGATTTAGACACACATGCAAGCTTGAGAACATGCAGGCACACGCGCAATCATTGCCATATTTCAGGATAGGCAACAAGTCAACTTTGCCCCCGTGGAATGGAATGGCCTCTTTCTGCAGCAGATGACGGTTTGTGTACTATTACAATTAAGGGATTTCAGGCGCTGATCTGAATAATCCCCTAACGCTATGCAAATGATCAAGGCCCGGCAGATCTCCCCACTGGCTGAGCTTGTTGTTAGTATGCACGGCAGGACGGAGTACATGGCCGGGCGTACAGTGGGTGCCTTTTTAATCATCCGCCAGCGACGATATGGGCACACGGATCAGACGTTTGCCTGTTGGCACATTAACCAAGGCCACGTCCCGCTTTGCCCTCCACGCGTCTCAAGGACTTAGCCGCTCTCGCTGACAAAGCCCATGCGCGCAGCTTCACTCGGTCACGCTGAACAAATAGCCCAAAGTTATTCCTGACCAGCACTGTTGCTTTTCTATAATGAATAGGCTGTGCTTGTATACACAACAAACTCTTATTTACCCTGCATTTTTGTCACTGCTTGCAACTGCAATCCTCATCCCAAGTGCACACGCAGCCACGTCTTAAGCAACAGGAAAGGAGGAAACTTCCTGTTTTCTTTGTCTGATGAAAACCGCAGGCTTTCTGCTTCTTCTGTTGCCAGGCGTCTTGTTAATATATTCAGCTGTTAAGGAGATACATAAGATACCCAACATATTTTTTGCAAAATTTCTATTACCATCCCGTAGAAAAAATATTATTTGTGCTGTGGTGATCAATACCTTCGAGTTTATTTACCAGCAACCTATTGCTCATCGGATGAGGATAATTAGATTTATTGGATGAGGATCATTTATGAAAGAGTCGCTAATAGCTGGCACAGAGATGGTAGGGAGACGTGCTTGTGCTCAATTCATAGACGAATCCATGTCGTACACAAGCCGGGACTGCTGAGGAGTCAGATGAGTATGTGCACAGTCAAGCCACAAGGGAGAAGTCGAATCTGCGGGGGGAAAAAAACAAAGTTGGAGGAAAATTATGGAAAAATATACTGTAAGTAAAAGATTTAAGAGCCTCAAAAAGGCATCGAACTGCTCGAGCATAGGGAGCAATAAAAAATAGTCAAAGTCAAACCACACAGATTTTGAGAAAACCTACAGCTTAGGTAGACCTATTGGAAGAGTTATTTTGGGAAATGATATATAATGTATGTAATAATATATATAATATAAAGACATCAGACAGAATTGTGAAGTCAATTTTCTGGACCCAAACAAGTTCTTACCCTGGTGGCAAGTGAACACATTTTAATCTTGTGTTTTTTTTAATTGCTACACTATTTTTTTCTTTTAAATAAAGTGGTTAAAAAAAAAATGTTCCATGCTGTTTGTTTACATTCCGGCCTCTCATCTAAAAACGACATCGCCCTTCCGTACTGCGATTTAGCAAGTAGACGGTTATCATAACCAATGGTGATGATGACCAAAACTATTAAAGAAACCCTCAAAGTTTTTTATAAATTGGCAAGGACAGAGACGCAGGCAGGAGAGCGAGCGGTATTTGGGGGAGCTGATGTGCAGGATAGAAGCCAGCTGAGGGGCAGGAGGGAAAATGAACAGCGAGCGGGAGAGTGTCTTTGCCCGAGGCTCCGGAGGAGATGATAAAACAGAGGCCAGTAAAGAGGAGCCTTTGGTAACCACGAGGTGTGTGTGTGTGTGTGTGTGTGTGTGTGTACGTGTAGCGTATGAAAGCTGAAGATCCTCTTCATCTTCACACCTTACACCGCTCTAATTACGGGCCCCTCTCTCTCTCTCGTCCCTCGCTTCAAACTGTGCCAAGGGCTTTTACATTCACTATTCCCACCTCGCTGCCTACTCTCTGTCACTCTGCCTATCTCCACCTTTCACACCTCCCACCAGCCTCTAATTATCAGATCTTAGTAGGTCCCTGAGAAGAAAAGAAGTCACAAAAGGAGCAGGGGGAGAGAGACAACCAGTGAGAAGGATTTGATGGAGTTGAAGAGATTTGTGGAGGGTCGGTGAGCTGGAAAGGGCCGAACAACACGTGCCGGCTTTAGAGAGAAAAATAAAGGAAGGCGGGATAAAGTATGAGCGTGACAGAGAAACAGGGATGAGGTGAGAGAAAACAATATGTCATTGATGGAGAGAGGGAAAATTAAGGGTAATTACTCTATGGATTTTTTTTTTTAAAGGAGCTCTTATTATGTGGTTAGGGTGAGTAATGCTATTGAAGGGTGCTTTTCTCTTTCCAGTGCTTTAGCGTGATTACATGACTATTGGCCTTTTACGGAGATTCATATTTCCGCACAAATCAACACATGTTTATTACTTGGTCTGTTTTACCCAAAATACAAACACTTTTTTTCCCCACTTCCTTTGACCCGTCTGCAGATTGTTTTCATTACATTCATTTGTATTTATTGTTCCTTCTCCTATTGGAAGGAGACAACCAGTAAACACTCAACAGTATTTGAATTCAAATACAATGAGTGCATATCGCTGTGCGATATCTGTCCACAATTTGCGTTTGTCCCCTCTTCTTTATCGCGAGTCGTCGAGGGTGGGAGCAGAAATAAATGCACTGACATTAGATCAACCTAAATGTTGACATAACTCTCAAGGGGAGACATCGAGCGTTACTGCCAACCACGCTGGCCTCAGTAGCCAGCTAGAATGGTACGTGTGTGTTTGTTGAAACCACTGAAAGCCCACTTGGCCCCAGGGGGGCTACTGGCAACCATCGCAGTGCGTCGCATTGTTTTGTCTGCATGTGTACGTACACATGCAAACAGAGAGAGCCGCTCTAGGTGGGAGAAAAAAACACGCCGTGCCGACGGTGCACACAGTTGCATGCTTGTGGATTCCTGGACACAATTGACATTATTCATTTGCTATTGAGGCAATTAATAGATTTTTTTTTCCTGCGGTTTCTTTTATTGTAAAAGATAGAAAGGCTGAGAATTAAGCTTTTGGTTCTGCTTTTTCTGTATGTAGTCAACAGTTGTTGGAAGTTGCTTTTTTGAAGTTTTCTATCTCCAGGACATGTTGTCATGAAGGCAAACGATGCAGGAGATGCTGTTGACTGTGGCTGCTCATCTCTTACTGCAATGAGATTCCAAGGCAGCCGTTTATTATTTGTATGCGCTTGCATACGCGTGTACAAACACAAGTGTGCACACAAGTTGTGTGTGTTTGTTGTTGCTCGCATGTCTGGGTGTAAACCTTGAAGCTGCTTGAATCTAAAAGAGCACTTGATGCTCACGTGCACAATCCTATTACCACGTGCCGCTATCGCCGCAGATCTATGTCTTCAAAACTCTGCTCAAGTCATACTCCGGTGCTTCCCGTGCCTTCATTTCCACAGAACAGATCAAATTTACTGTCCCCTATTGTTCATGTGTATTAACTGGAAAAGATGTGATTAAAAAAATGAACCATGCATCTCTCTTTGCTCTCCCACCCATTCTCCTTCTCCAAATACAACCCTCGGTTCTTAGGAAAATGAGATTCGGAAGAGCAAACACACGCGCAGCACTTCTTCCTTCCACCACTGAACTCACTCACCCCGTGTGTCATTTATCTATAATGACTTTGTGAATAGTGTGACACAGCGTCCCCCCTCTCTCTCTCTCTCCCCACTCAGCCACCCAGTCAGTCATTCAGCCTAACCCAATCAAGTGGCTTTTAATGAACTTCAAACAAGTGTTATCACCCAGTTCAACGTGCGCCATGCTTCACTCCCCCCCAGCTCCATCCATGCGGGCGCTCACCTTATCTGCGCTCTTTCTTTTCAACCTCTTTCCCTCTGCCTCTCTGACAGGCTGACGCTTCCCCCGTCGCACATACTTAATATTTATATTTTGCCTTTTTTCCAGCGATTCGCTATTCCTCTCTGTCATTTTGCGTGTTTTGCTCTAGCCGCCGCTCTGCGGCATTAACATGAAACAGTTTAGAGGAGTACTGTTCCCTATTTACTATCTTTTCCCTCCTTTGATCCCCCTCCTCACCTTTCCCTGCTTGTCAGTCACTTTACTATTCTTGTCACTGCTATTCACGTGATCCTTCTCGTCTCTCCCTTTCTCTTCGTCTTGAAGGCAAGTGATCGGTGCTCTATATGCAGCCAGCTCCTCACACCTGAATTGATTGGCTCTTAATATCAGACCTCCAATTGCTGAGCGACTCGTCTCCTCCTCCCTCTGACGTTAATTATTTCCCAAATTGCTGCACAGACAGAAATCAACCTAATTTCGATCCTCCAGTGACACCTTTCCTTCTTGAACACAAACATGAACACCCAAAGCAAACATAAATTCAAATTGAGAGCTCATCTCATTTCTGCATTAGTGTCTATTTTAACATCAGCGCGCTCTTAACTCACACTGACCGTGAGCAGGTTCAACCAAGGGACTCTGATCCCAACAAAACAGGAACTGACTCCCTAAGGTTTCTTCCCTTTTTTCCCCTCTTGTAAGGGTTTTTTCATTTTTTGGGGAGTTTTTCCTGTGCCGATGGTGGGTTTCGGGGCAGAGGATGTTGTATGTGTACAGACTGTAAAGCCCTCTGAGGCAAATTTGTAATTTGCGATTCTGGGCTATACAAAATAAAATGACTTGACTTGACTTGACTCAGATAAAAGCACTAAAACAAGATGAAAGCAGTGAATCCTGAGTTTCATTCAATTAAATCAAGTACCGGGTGGTCTGCTACATGATGAGAGTGTTGATTGGTCTGTGACTTCACAGTACACCAAATGTCACTCAGTATATATTATTATATTATTTGGTGCGATGAACTATCATCCTGAGTGTACCCAATTAAAAATGTTGGGCTTTTCATTATCTTTTTCATATGAATGTAATGTAAAAAATGGGTACACGCGTAAAAGCAATAAATCAACTAACATAACCTGATATTTAAACCCATAGTAACACGCTACCCTCCACCTCCCCATTCATTTTGTCTCTCTCACAGGGGTGTCCCCAGTTACTGCCGGCGGATAGGATCCTGGTGCCGGTCAACGTGGTGAAGCCCATCACACTACGGGCGAAGAACCTCCCCCAGCCGCAGTCTGGGCAGAGGGGGTACGAGTGTCTGCTGACCATCCAGGGGAACGAGCACAGAGTCCCTGCCTTGCGTTTCAACAGCTCCTCAGTGCAGTGCCAAAACACATCGGTGAGAATGAGTGTGTGTGTGTATCTGCAAATGTGTGTGTAAACTTTACTTGCAACCTCTCTGGGATATCATCATTGACCACTGCACACCAGCACATCTGTCAAAACGGCCCATTTCTATAAAGCTTTCCCATTAAGATGAACATGATACATTTTCGATGTGGAGTACACACAGACTCTCTCACACACACACGCACACATATTTGTCTTGTTGCAGCCAGCCCGTGGGTAAGAAAAGACAAGCGCCTGACTCTCCTGCATAGCGCTCCCTAAGATGATGCTTCATTCACTGCCTGAAAAATGCATTGACAGCAATGAAAGGCGAGCAGAAAGGGCTTTCCTCTGATGTTGATGCTAATCGTCTGTTGATACAAGAACATCTCATCTTCCTGTCTATCATCACCACTGTGTGTGTTTATCTGTGTGTAGAGCTCTTGGGATTTATTGGATTAATCATAATACCAACCAAATGTTGTACTTTGATTGAGCAGTTCTGAAAGGAAACTAATTTAATAGACAATTATGATTTAGGCAACAACTTTCTGTGAAATTGAGAATAAGAATCAAATGAAATACAATAACGTCTTTGAAAGATCTTTTGTGTGTATATTGTGTTTGCAAAATCAGAGTCTACAGCCACCTGTTGATGATCATTTTTACATTCAGGTTTTTTTTGTTACAACCGAGCATTTTGGACCCGGAGATGATAGACCGTTAAAGTAGCTCAATGGTTCATCTCTCTACCTCCCATCTTCTCCTCCCTGTCTCTTATTCTTTCCCTCTCTGGTTGCCATGGTGATAGTATTTCTATGATGGGATGGAGATGAGCAGTCTACCTGTGGAGCTGACCGTCATCTGGAACGGAGATTTCAGCATTGACAACCCCGCCCACAACAAAGGTGAGCATACACACAGGCACTAGTTTGCACACACACACACACACACACTCACACACACCTTTTTGAATCCAAATCAGTTCATTCGCAGTTCTTCCACACACATTGAGTTGACACAGTCTCTAATAAACTCTCATTTAAACCTCACATGGACTCAAACACACAGTAAAGCTGCCGCTTCCACATTATTGCCCTTGGAGCCGGTCTCCATGGCAACAGGCAGGCAGTGTGCTGAGGTGCAGCATCCATCCCCTGATGTTGCCATGTAGAGTGGTTAACTTTAACACACTTTCCCTCCTTAGGTCTGTCTCCATTGGTCACTGTTTGTCCTGCACTTTACTGTCGGACTGTTATGTCCAAAATCTATTGTTTTGCCTCCTCACAAACATTTCATTTCCGCTCTCACCGGGAGTTAATTTGCTTTACTGTCATACATTTCAGAGGAAAAACCACATGTAATTACAGCCGGAAGGAAAATACATAACCAATAATGATAATCATTGAAGCTAAAATGACATTATTATTTCAGGCTATTTATCGGAAGAAAATAGGTAACACATTATCTACATTGCTGCCGGTAATTTCTTCCTGTCCAGTTTTCCATCTACTCGCAGTATACTGTATGTGGAGTGTCAGCTCAGTGCTGATTTGTAAGCTTTTCAGTACTCTGCTGCTTGGCTTGAATCAGTGTGGCCACTGGCAATGCAGCGCACTGAGGGATCCATGCTGTGGCGGGAAAACCGCCGCATGCTGGGGGTTGTAGTTCTCTGACAGGAAAACAACTCATCTTAACCGTAGGCAGTAGAAACATATTGTTAAAATATGGATGGTACGGCAACATGGAACTGTGCTGAAAGGCAAAGTTTGTACATTCTTTGTTTTATTTTATGATTATGTGTCTGAGTCAAAAACAAAAACACATCCTTAAGCCTGTGTGTAAAATCAAAGAAGAAACGAAAGCCAGAGAGTTGCTTTAGCCAGAGAGTCCTTCTATGCCTGTGGAGAACGATGCTCCCAATCAGCATTTGATGGACGGATCACACGTGCATCTGATGGCAATTAAAGAGAAAATGGCTGGACCGTTGCCATGGAGATAATATGTTAAATGCACGGTGAATGAGCAGAGGCGAGAACCAGCAGTGTAGGGAACTCGGAGACAGAGAGGGAGTATGTAATGATGATGATAGATGGGGAAATAATGAGACTGAGATATCAGCGAATGTCGCTCTCAAAATATGCACTTTGGTGTTTGCATATTCCACAGACAGACATTTAGAGATTTGGGTAAACAACTGACATTTTAGTTAATGTGTATTTCAAAGTGTTGAAATGTCCATTATTTTAGAGGCTTTTGCGCTAAATTAATTTGCATGCATTTGCTGTTCAGCAATCATTTCGACAAAGGTGGTTCTCATGAGTTATCCACTCTTTCTCCCTCTATCCTCACCCCCCCCCCCCCCCCTGCTGTCTTTCCTCCCTCTCTTTTAGTCCATCTGTACAAGTGCGACGCCCAGCGTGGAAGCTGTGGTTTGTGTCTGAAGGCAGACCCGCTGTTTGGATGCGTTTGGTGCAAAGGAGAGAACCGCTGCACACTCAAACAACACTGTCCCTACCCCGAGAACCAGTGGCTGGAGCACAACGGCATCAACAGCAAGTGCACCCACCCAAGGATCACACAGGTGGGACACACACACACACCAGGACGCTGATGCATTAGTGTCCACAATGCAAACATACTTTACACACAAGCATATAGGTGGATCGAGCAATGCTACCAAGCCACAGCAGCTATTCAATCTGAGTGCATTAGTTTAGTTTAATATAGTTTACATCTTTTTTTTTATATGCTGTTAGGCATTCGCTAATTAGAGGTTTGAATGATAGTGATATACTAAAATCACAATTACAGAAATCCTAGGAAGACACCTCTGTAGTTTTCTTTCCTTAATACCAAGTAGCATAAGAGTTGTTATTGTTTACTGAATCTTATTTTCAATGTAAACACACGATCCTACGATGGACCATGCCAGAGGCAAATTATCCTCAAACTTGCTAGTTATATGTCGAACGCAAATGGACTTGACCTCTGCAGTTCATATGAGGGAGCCAATAGCAGTAGGGTGAAAGGTCAGCCAGATGAAAGCTGAGCGGATGCATTGGAAAGAACATCCTTCTTTCCAATGCAATCCACAGATGCCCAGGCAAAGATAGAAGAGGATGGATTCAGTTTACATGAAGGTAGGCTGAGCAGCAATAGAGTCATGTGAATCATGGTGAAGGGGCGGACGAACGAATACCCCTACAGCCTCTCCATGTCCCCATGATGCATAGTAAGGCCCGCCGTGCAGCATCCGCTAGGAAGAGCATAAGGAGCGGATACAGATACAGAGAGGGGAATCCCTTTTGGCGTCCAGGGTAGCGATGGGTTTGGACAGAGAGGCGCGAGATGCAGGAACGGAAGGTTAATCCCTTCTCAGCTGTCCGCTCTCCTGTCTTTGCACCATCCTACACAGACCGGCATACAGATAAGTGGCTGACCTTGGTGGAGATTTACTGAGAGCGGCATCGTAAACCCTGTTGTTCCTCATAATCTTGAATCTCCACTGATCATGTTCACCTGATGGGTTCCAGCAGATTCTTCTTGTGTTTTTTTTATCTTAATGAAGAAGGATTGTCCGACACTGAGTGAAACAAATCTGGAATCTGTGCACACTGAGGACATACTGTAGACATGTCCAAACTGGAGAGTTACTACCTCCCCATCTGCTCATAGGTGCACATATGTCTGGCATGTCAAAGGAGTTGAGGTTATTGAAGTGCACCTCCTCCCCGATGTTTGTCTTCAACCCAAGAACTGGATCAATTCTTAGAGATGGGTCGTGCTTCTCTCCTTGCATCCCCGAGGCTGCAGCCGGGACATATTGCAGCCTTCTCACGTCCCCCATAAGAACTGTCAGCGAGTGAGGAGTGAGGACTTTTCCAAGACAACCAGGGCCGTAATGCATTCTAATACGCTTCATTATAGTGACATCTCCCATCAACAATATGAGAGGGAGAGACTCGCGTAGAAAGATGGGAATAGAAAGGGAGAGAGCGGGAGAAGTGATTAAGTGTTTGCTCTCGTACCCAACCGTCAATTATCTTGTCAAAGTCACAAATCTAATCAACGCCTCATTGAGTCTCTCCCTCTTTTTCACTCTTTTGCTTCTTCCTTCTCCTCTGCTATTCCTCTTTAACTCTTAATAATAATAATAATAATAATAATAGCCTTTTTTTTTATAACGCACCCTTCATCAACAGATCTTGGAGTGCAAACTCTGTGTCCCTTTCCATCCTCCATATTTGCTAATAGATGGAGAGCCACGATGCTTTGTTAGCAATCTTTTTAATTGCATGTATTGTAGCCCCGTTCCCTGTTGGCGCTTTTTTTCATTACGATATCAGCAGGGAGCCTTATTAATCAGAGACTCTGAGCATACTATAACAATATCTCCCACATGGCAGCCACTAGTCCTGCGTTGTGCATGACCTGGTCTAAGCTCGCCTCTGTCATCCGATTGGCTGGTTCCTTTCCAGCCCAGCGAGTTGACTTTTTATGAGTTTACTTCTTTGGGGGAAAAAGGCAAACGATTCAAATGTTTAATGCTTATCTGATTGTAACATAATAATGATGATGCCACAACAAGCAAGAGCATCCAGCCATGAGATAAAGCCTCAATCAAACACTCACACAGTACTCTTGCTGAACTATCTCGGCTCCTGTGACAATCCGTGGGATCGATCTTGTTCAGGGGGCATGGTGACATAGCACGGTTGAAGCTGGGCCCCCTTTCTGCAGCATGGAATACTTCTATTTGACGGAGACCGATCGAAACAGAGCAGTCTCTGTCTGTCTCTAACATCCATCCATATGGGCCGGCCTGGTGCACGCTCACTGGCCAACAAGGAATTGTGTGAGCAAAGCGAGGATGGATGTTGGAACCGCTTCTTCAACCGTGAGAGAAGTTGCTGATGAATCAAAGGACACTGTGATTACTGCGAAGGTGTCACCCGATGCCAAGTTTTAACTTAATCTTATGTAATATAGTGTCGTGGTTTTCAGCGAATACAGGATTGAGAAATGACAAGCCCTTGACCCGGAGACTTGACCCCTTAGCTGTCGCTGGAGCTGTTATGTTGTTGTTTATTGTCTCCTTTCTGCAGCCGTTTCTCCCATCCCCATCTTTATATAACCTGGTAGCGGAAAAAGCTTAATAATTTGATAACATTAAATTCAAATGCATTCCTATTTTTATCACCTGCTTATTCATAGATGCCTGTGCAGCCTGTTTGGCTTTTGCATAGAATTTTTATCCCACATTTCGATGACAAAATATTTTTAAAAGGGTTCATTTTCAGACGCTACTTAACATTCATCATTTCTACTCTGTCACTATTACACAAAGCTCTTCATAACATGAATATACTGTGCACTGCCATGGATTGCCTAATCGTTTGACACGCTCATTTTAAATGAATTAGTAATTTAAGATATTGGTCTATAAATGTGTACAGTTCTGACAAGGGGTTGGTAGACCTATTGCAGCTAATGGGGCTGCTTAATTATGAACACATTTAAATAGCTTTTTAATGTTAGCCAATTTATTTTGAGTCCAGGAACTGTTTGGCACAATGCAGTGTTGATATTATTTGCCAAATCTAAAAGCAATTATTATTTCAGTTTTCTTTTGAATATTCTGATGAATTGCATTTTTGTTTTTGAACTATTTCCATTGATTTTACATAATATACATCGACACGAGACAGAGTGAAGCAAAGATGTCATTTATTTCACACCTTCTATTAAATGTTCCCATCTTCAATTTTCACATCTAAAATTGTATCAACTTTTTTTTTTTTAATGAAACTGCAGCTTATTTTACAGCAGAATTCTACCCGCTACTAACCAATGCTTGTCGTGTAGCAAAACAAACAAAACATCTCCCAAATAATGAATTCCAGTCTTGACTTCCCACAGATCACACCTCTGCGGGGTCCCAGGGAGGGCGGCACACTAGTAACTATTCGTGGTGAGAACCTGGGACTGGAGTTCAGAGAGATTCAGGACAACGTGAAGGTGGCCGAGGTGGATTGCTCCCCGATACGTGAGGGCTACATACCTGCTGAACAGTAAGTCACGTTTGATATTTGGAATTTGCTTTACAAAGCAGGTCCACAGCAGCCAGAGGAAAACGGCAATTAATGGAAAACCTATAATATCTACTGCGCTGGTGAACAGAGAGCCACCCACATTTCATATTAGCGCACACACACACACACACACACACACACACACACACACACACACATTAACACACATGCCCATAATCATTTGGGAAAGTTCAGGAGATTACACTTTTGAGTTTAATCCTGAGCTTTGGTCCCTTACAGTGGGGCCGTCTTTCAAATTATTCTAAACTAGTTTAAAGTTGGCTTATCACTAGAGCCAGGGCTTCGTCTGCTAAGAAAGTAAGTTATGTGCCGGCACTTTCTAAGCAAATGCTGACTCGGCAGAAGAGGTGGCTGTACTTGAGGTCATACATAAAAGGACTTTTTCCCTTTTCTCCCACAAGTTGGCATTGTTCGAAAGGTGAAATTGGTGCCAAATAATGCACCATAATAAGCATTATTTTATTTGGGTTTTAACAAGCTTAGGTCCATTTCTATTTACATAATTTGCTAGAATGGCAAACCGCTCCGGTGTTTTTCTACAGGCTTATTTGTGTGAGGCGTGAACATTTAGGTGTGTCTGCTCATGCATTTCTCTATGTTATTATATCTTTTATTTATTTTTATTTTTTTACATCTTCCACAATGATGCGACTGTGTTTCCAGGATTGTGTGTGAGATGGGCAAAGCCGAGAAGAGCCAGTATACTGGGAACGTACAGGTCTGCGTCGGGGTTGGCGAGTGCAGACCAGAATTCATGGCGAAGTCCTCCAAGTACTACTACTTTGTGGTGAGTCCACGCTTCCGATAGCTGATCCTTTTGTTTTTTTTTCATTTGGAAAAAAGTGTACTTTGCAGCTTGATTTGATGGTTGAAAAGACTCCAGACGACTGATTCTTTCCACACATGCTGCATATGTCAAACTCTGCATGTTTGCACCTCGCCAGACAGAGCTTCTACCTCTCAGCATTCCTCAAGCGTGTAACAGAGCTGAGACATAACAGGCAGTCAGTTACTAATGAGTGCAGAATGAGGAAGAAACGCTTATGGTAATAAATGCCTTCCTCTGACATGAACACATAAAATCTCACGCCTAACACACTTTCTGTGTTCTTTCAAAACCAACTCTGCACGCAATTCATCAGTGTCAACCGCACGCTCTCAAATGAATGTGCAGTTGTTGCCATTATGTACTCGTTTATGGAGTCATCGCTTTTACTGCCATCCATCAACGGGAGCTGGCTAGGTTTTATTTCTCCACCGGGTCTCTGCAGGGATTATATGATGTTAGGTCTCGATGTCGCACCACGCAACAGGCTGCAGATGAGATTATAAGAAGGCGAAATGAACTGAAAGAGGAGGTGGAATGCATCAGTCGCTGCTGTGTCAAAGCTTTTCTCCACAGTATCGTGTACGTAGGTGGGATTAGTGAGTGCAGTTACATACTAACACTCAGAGGCATATTTACCTGAGAATGATCAGTCGAGGTTCCTCTAGAGCCTGCAGGCTAATTACAAAATGCCACTCTTTGTGTCCCAACTATTGAAATGCTTTGCCTATTAATGAGGTAAATAGTGTGTTTAACTTTAAGAAGTTAACTCATCATTTATTCACCTGGATTCCACCCTCTGATTGACTTGTGGCCTTACAACCTCTGCCCCTTCTCCAGATTCCGAGGATTATCAACCTCAAGCCCAGTCGAGGTCCGGTCTCCGGGGGAACCGTCGTCAACATCACCGGCAGCCACCTTGACGCTGGGAGCAACGTGTCAATCATGTTTAAAGACCAGCCGTGCACTTATCTGAGGTTAGTGGGGAGCAAGCCAGAGCTGATCCTGCCAATCTCACTTAAACGGTCAATTAAAAGCTCGGTCAAAGTCCGTGATAGTCAAACGCTTCTGACAGTTCTCCTCTTTGCCCCATCATTTCTTGCCCAACATTAACCGACACGGTAGTTAGATGTCCTTGAAGAAAGGAAAGCGGTCATGATCACGGAAAGCAAACACGTGAATCTTTTGCTTTGTGTATTTCTTTCAGAAGAGAAAACGCATATTGTAATCCACCACCACTGATCAATGCAATATTCCATGTTCCGTCAATAAACCATCTTTACGTAACCACTCAAGCATCTTCAGCATTATATTGATATTGGTTTGTGAATGATTTAGCAGTGATGAACAGCAGGAGAGATCACTCTGGAGTTTCCACACAGTGTAATGTACTCTCGGATAAAATTATATTGGTCGTCTATGACCGACTAATTACCGGTTTTCATCATCCTGTCATCACTTCAGGAGGGGCGGCCAGTGGCTCACATGCCGCACACACGCTTCCCTGAATGGCTGCGGAAACGTGTCCGTGTCCGTGAGCATAGACAAGGCTCACCTCCAGAAAGACCTGCGGTTTGAGTACGTGGAAGATCCCACCATCACCAAGCTGGAGCCTGAGTGGAGCATCTACAGGTACGCTGCACGGGCATGTCGTAGCCGGTACTAATATCTGTATATCAAAAACAATCTGACCTTTGACCTCTCCTCCTCCTCAGTGGACACACTCCAGTGATGGTGACGGGGACAAACCTGGACATCATTCAGACTCCCCTCATCAGAGCCAAATACAACAGCCACGAGACACTCAACGTAAGTGATGATTAAAGAAGAGGCCTTAAGCTTCATCTGGAGGGGGAAACACAAACCACGGTCAAATACCTGAAGGAGATGTATAAATAAATAGCTTTACCCCCACTAGTCGTCCCATAGGAATGAGGAATAGTAAGATTGTGAGTAATTTAGCATGACTAAATGCTTCATTGAACCCTTTGAGGTAAACGGGTCAGAGGAAACGCTCAGAGGGCGTAGTAGATGGTCAACAGGTTGCATTTGAATTAATAACAGATTGGCGTGATTCCACTCCACAACTGAAAACCACAGAGATCGTCCCTTATCAAATTCTTCTGCCCTCTATTCACGCTTTTGCCCAGGGGAGGATAGATAAAGCCACACGAGGGTCTCTGTGATCTGATTGAAAGAAGAGGGAGTAACAAAAGGCGGTAATGCTATCTTCATGGTCTATTTGAGCATGAGCCTGCACCACGTTTAGCATCTGTGCTCACATATGTTTTCAGTGCGCATTGTGTCTCAAGCCACCGTACGGGCAGTTGCACTTTGAACAAACATGAAGTAGACGTGCTGCAATGAAAGAGTGAGTGAGATAAGAGACTGAAATATGTTACAGTACCAGTCAAAAGTTTGGAGACATTTTCCTCATGTAATTCAATGAGAAAGTGTTTCCACACTCTTGACTGGTACTGTACACTATAATTGAGCAGTAAAGTGGTATAGAGAAAGATGAGTTACAGAATAAGAATGTGTCAAAGACACAGGAGAAGATCATAGTGAATGGAGGTGTCTTTGTGGAGGGTAATGAAGGAAGGCTAAGACCTAGTAATCACTCCTGAATCTTCACACATCAAAGCCGGATAGTGCCACGCTCCCTAATTGCACCTCATTCAGCGGCTTCCTTTTACAAAAACACTCCAACAGGTTCTTCTGTGTACTTTTTGACATAGAGGAGCTTCCAGTTTTCATTGAGTCTCCAGGTTCCTTAGTGAAATAAATGAGTCACTCTGACTGCTCATCAGATTTTTTGGCATATGTGCACATTCAAGTGCTAGTTTGCCAAAGCTTTAGCTGCAAAGAGGCGAGTGAGGTAACTTTTGAGACATGATGACGGCCCCGCCGCACCTCAAATCCACAACATTTCTCTCCTTGCACTCATTTTGTATAAATACATATATAACGTGCCCCCTCTCTGTCCCTGTCCCGTGCCAGTTGTGCCAGGTGCTGAGCCCTACATCCATGCTGTGCCAGGCCCCCGAGCTGCCCATCAGTCTGGCCAGGCAGCAAGAGGTGCCTGAGAGGCCAAATGAGTTTGGCTTCAAACTGGACGATGTGCAGGCTCTGATGGCACTCAACAACAGCAACTTTATCTATTACCCCAATCCTGAGTTTGAACCTCTTAGTGTATCTGGGGTGCTGGAGCTGAAACCCGGATCCCCCATCATACTGAAGGTATGAGGCTAGGTGTCACGTAGGTGTCACCTACTCACAATCAGTATTTATTGATTTAAAGTTTTGTCACTTTCAGTTCCCTATTACAGGATTGTCTGTCGTTTATATATATATAACTGTCTCACTCCTCTTTATACATTTTCCAACATGTAACTGGGAATTCTTCCTGCAGGGGCGGAACTTCCTCCCACCAACCAGTGGTGGAAATGGAAAGCTGAACTACACAGTTCTCATTGGCGAGAAGCCCTGCATGTTGACGGTGTCAGAGACCCAGCTGCTCTGTGAGTCGCCCAACCTGACGGGTCGACACAAGGTCCTGGTGAGTCGTACAGAGAAGAGAGACACACACACATACACATGACAGGCAGGCAGGATATGGCGGAGAAGGCAGGCGGACCCACAGATCGAAATGACGCTTTGACAGACGGACGGACATTCCTCTTGCTTGGTTGCTTTCTATCCATCTCTTTGTCCTCCTGGAGACGAGCTACCGATCTAATCAAATCGCCTCTGTGGTTCCTGTTAGTGTCCACAAGCAGACAAAAGACAAACAAATGAGCCTTCAATAAGAAGGATTAGTGCCCCGGCCAACTCAATAAAGATTCCATTTGTGGTTTTAAGACGGACCACTTTAAACAAAGCGCTCCCTGATGTTGTCACCTGACGCCAGCGTCATGGAGAGAGATGGACACAAATAAGTATGTGTACACATTTAAAAAAGCAAATCAATACGTACGTTCGTCGGCCTGGGGAACCTTTATAAAAAAGAAAGGGTTTCACAGAAGCAATATTATGTCATTATGAGATCCTTTTTATTATACGTGGAATCTTTCCGCCGTGTGCAACGAGTCTACTGAGCGCTAACTTGTGATAATCTGCCCCTGTCATCTTTCAACATCACAAGGCGCGCGTGGGTGGTATCGAGTTCTCCCCGGGTGTGGTCCACATCACGTCCGACAGCCCGCTCAGCAGCTCGGCGATCATCGGCATTGCGGCGGCCGGGGCCCTGCTCATCCTCGTCATCGTGGTGGTCCTCATCGCCTACAAGCGCAAGTCTCGCGAGAGCGACCTGACGTTGAAGAGGCTGCAGATGCAGATGGACAACCTCGAGTCGCGCGTGGCTCTGGAGTGCAAAGAGGGTATGAGGCTGATACCAAAGCTGCCGTGGTATCATCAGCTAATTGTTTTGCCGTTGAAAATGAATTGGATCGTATATCTGCTTTATCCATCAGCTTTTGCAGAGCTACAGACAGACATCCACGAGCTGACCAGTGATCTAGATGGAGCAGGGATCCCCTTCTTGGACTACAGGACCTACACCATGAGGGTCCTCTTCCCGGGAATCGAGGAACACCCTGTCCTCCGAGACCTGGAGGTATGGTTTCACTGCTATTCAACTTGTACTGTGGAGCGCCCTGCAGCCAGTCTCTGTTCTAATAGAGGAACACTATATAGTTGGTTAAAATGGTGCTTGACTTAACACTTAGTACAATAGATGATGCATGCATTCTGCAAGATGTTTAATACCACAGGAGAACATCAAAATCAAGGTTTTTCAATAAAGACTGAGGTCATCTACAGTATCTACTCAATTTTAACTATCTATATAAATATAGATATATACACATTAGTTGTGATGATCCGCGGTTCTTAGATGTAGAGAACAGTTACGTATTTGAAGTTTATTTCAATTTGAATAGTGCAAGTAATTGTATGTGCCTGTTCTTCAGTCTCTTATCAAATGACTGATCTTGATGCAATTAGCCTCATTTGATTTGCGAGAAAAATGAACAAGCAAATCAACAATATGGTTCACCGTGGGTGAAATTTCCACTGATGTTGTTTGTGTTGCTGTCTGCTAAACAAAAGCCTTTTGACAGCGGACAGCAACACTTAAAAAACAAAAAAACAAGGCCCCCCTCATATCTATCTCATTAATAACTCAAACGATATGAGACGCCGCTCCGTTTTCTCTCTGCACCTCAAATACAAATTAAAAATCAATCAGTGGGAAGGAAAGCAAACGGAAAAAAAATCAAGTAATTTATCCCCAGTGGTGACATTGATAGACAGCTATAATTGAGCAGGTCGTCTTGTTCCATTAAGAGAATGATGGACCCCTTTTCACTGCCCTCGGGGTTGGCCACTCCATCCCTGATGACAATTTCCTAGTAATAAGCAATACTAATTATGTTTTAATTAGTATAAATTGTGTAGTGTAAGAGGAATATCATGTGGAATGGGAGGCTAATGAAACAAATAGCAGTCTTGTCTCAGGCAGTTGATCGCCGCTTAATTGTTATTGATGTGCAATCATTTAAAGTAAAAACATCTTTGACTTTAGGTTGTAGACATGTTTTAAAATAGTGGGAATTCTGTCTAGGCTGATTTGGACTGAATTATTAAAAAAAAAAATAACATACCAGTTAAAAATGACTAGAATTAGAATTACTAGAATATTAGAATTAGAAACACAATGTGGTCTGGCATGTGTCGTTCCAATTATATGGATCTCAACAATTTGCTTTTACAGCAGGATATTTTCCACTTCCCTCTCGATTCCTACATAAATTATTTAGTTTTAGCGGCGGTTGCGATTTTACTGCTTCACCTGTGAGCCTGCGAAACACATCTCTTCCAGTGACCTATGCAGATGGGAGAGTGTGTAGGCATGTTTGTGTTACATTACGGAGCAGCATAGTTGTAGAGTGTAAATCCACAAAAGAAGGCAAAAAAAAACATTTATCCCAGATTTCAACGTGTGCCTGTACACGCGTTCATACATGAAAAAAATAAGCACATGCCAAGTCTCTAAAACACACGGGAAGTCACCGACATTGTACTCTTCTTTTCAGGCGGTATAAAATTAGACTTGCAATTTAACAGTAGCTCCCAGAAGATTACGAGGGGGGCCGCTTGGAGAGGTAAACGCATATGAACATATGCTGGTAGACAGCTGGCTTTGGTACAAAGAGACGCCGTCTTTCCACGACAGATAAAAAAAAGTGCTATTTAAATTGAGAAAGGAAGCAGAATCTGGTCTCGGATGAGGGGAATTCACATCACTGCGCTCCGGTTCTGCTCGCGTTAGTGTGGAACGCTGCACCATCCAAGTGGTAAACATTCCCTCAAGAGGCTTAGTGTTTCCCCGCCTTTATTCCCAACCTCCAGACTACATGTTACAAACGTCGGAACAAGTTAAATTCCTCGTCTCCCGAGGTTCTTTTATTCTTGGTCTCTCCATCCTTATTCATGAAGATGTTTCACCTATTATCCCACTTTTAAGTAACACTTTTATTCATTAGTACTAATGTGTGTTGATGTAGCAATAATATTAATTATTATTATTATTTACAACTATCATTAAGGATTCTTCCAATATATACATTTGTCTCCTGTTTTCTCACAGGTGCCGGGCTACCGCCAGGAGCAGGTGGAGAAGGGGCTGAAGCTCTTCGGCCAGCTCATCAACAACAAGGTTTTCCTGCTGTGTTTTATTCGCACTCTGGAGGCCCAGCGTGGTTTCTCCATGAGGGACCGCGGCAACGTGGCCTCGCTCATCATGACGGTGCTGCAGAGCAAGTTGGAGTACGCCACCGACGTCCTAAAGCACCTGCTGTCCGACCTCATAGACCGCAACCTGGAGAGCAAGAACCATCCCAAGCTGCTGCTCCGCAGGTGAGAGCCGGGCACCAAAGACATTAGTACAGAGTTTAACTTTCCTCCTGTTTAATATCTAACAAGTTCCCAAAGTGGTTAGGGACCCTTTTTTTTTTTTTACAGCTTTTCTATTCCAGACCATCTCCTTCTTTTTCCCACGATAAAATGACACTGAACAACCGTGACACACATTCAACTATACTTCTTTAGAGATAGATTTACATGTGTTTAATGGTTAACGTCAACCCGTTCCTATCAATGAGAGGCTATGCTAGTCTAACTATGGCTGTGTCCTTTTCTGTTTGGATTAACTCCTGTGACCTTGACTTGCTGGCGCCGTCCCACAGACGGCAGCGTGCACTGCCCTGGACATTATTAGTGGGCTAATTATGTTTAATTAGCAGTGAATCTAATTTAAAAATGCTCAAGAGGAAAGAAAATTCTAATTTATGAAAAGGGGAAGAACTGTGAAAGCTCACACTCAGACACAGTCACAATCCTCCCTTGATTTGCAGTCGAGGCTTTAAGGGCTGGCACTTGAACACGGCACTGTATGTGATTATACTTCCTGCCCATGGCGTTTGGTAAATGTTGATAATGGTTACTTGAGAAAACCAGCTGCCGTACAGCTGCTGTGTGTGTGTGTGATGTGTGCGTTGATGTTTATATATATATATATATACTTGTTGGGATCCACACGCGATTTGACAGGCAAGTCACCAGTTAATTTGTCCTTCTCTCGTCTCAATTAAAATTGAGATTTTCTCCCTGGTTAAAAACCCATCCGCGGCATTAAATGCAACAAGCATATCGCGTGTGCAGAGATCTGAAACGAATGCTGTGCCCTCGCACCGTCCACAAGACAGTAGGCGCGGACTCGTCTTAACGTCGGCCTGTTTGGACGCTACCCGGTGATGCAGAGAGAGATTAATGCGCTCCGTGTGCAGCAGGCAGGATTGATTGCTGGCCAGAGCTCACCGAGCATGGGTGAAGCCACTAAACAGTGAAGTAACGGGGGACAGGGAGGAGGTAGTCAAGGACAATAGAGACACTTAATGCTGTGTCACCGAGTAAGGGAAGCTGCCTGCTGGGGCATGAAGGCAAAGTGTGTGTTCAGCTCTTTGATTGCTTGCTTGCAGCGGCGTGTACGTGCACCCACAAATAATTGATAATTCTAAAGAGTGGTCGCTCAAAAATATTGCAAAGACAAACCAACAGCAGTCAAATGCACACACACACACCGTGTACACCTTGTCCTCACATTGCGGCTCTTCTTTTCCTCATTGCTCGTCATCAAGGCAATTGCCAGGGGGAAGGACCTGGGGGGCCTGGGGGGGATTGCCCGTTTGTTACACACACCATACCGATGATCACTGATCAGACGGTCTTCACCTCGTCCTTCCTTCTCGGGTCGTGTGATGTGATGAGGTGGTGTCCGCACGCTACGCCGCCCTACGGTGAGGAGCTGGCTGTGTCCTTGGAAAGCAGCCGGAAATGGCCCAGATGCACAGGCACATACAGGGCTGTGAGGATGAGGCACGGTCCTGTCTGGAGAGACGGCACCCCTACGTCTCTTCTTCCTCAGCTTTAATTTCTCATGTCTTCCCTCTGTCTCTTTCTTTCTTCCTTTCCCCGTGTTTGCTCATTTCGAGTGTTATTCTCCCTCACCCCGCCGCCGCTCCCTCTCCTGTTTGTCTTTGTCAGTTCTGAAGCTTGTGCAGCTTTGTGTCACAACTTCTACCTCCCTCTCTTCGTCACTTATACTCGCTCTCCCGATATATCCCCCCCCCCCCCCCCTTACTCCTCCCCTGTTCTCTTGATTGCTAAATCAATGCTTATAGTGCGTGAGCAGTGTGTCTCTGGCAGAGCTTCTGAGCACGGCTACCCACTGCCTCCTCTTCCAGGAAATCTGTGCGTGTACGTACATGTGTGTGTCTTTCCCCCCCCCCACACGCAAATACACATCCTTCCATCTGTCCCATCTCAACCTGTGCTGAAGTACATGCACCAGGCACGCTAACTAACGAGAGCCTTCCACGGCCATCTGTCGCATTCCTCGCTGGATTCACTGCTCGCACACTTCCCTTCATTCCAATGCCCGTCATGCAGAGTTACAGTGTTTCCACAGCCTTAAGTTTAGTTTGGCTGCAGTTGATGTGTGGAAATATCAGTTTTGGTGTTGGTCAAAGATGAAAGCCCAATATGTTCTTGCCTCATTGGCTCCAGCTCAGATACGCAATCACTTCTAAAGATGCCCGTGTTCAACTCTACGGATATCTCTGTCAAAGGACATGTGTTGTTGGTTTATGTTTGTGGTGATAGACGGAATAAATGCATATATGCATCACTGTGAGACTGTTTGACACGTATGATGACCAATCTCCCTCACTGGGAGGTAAAGTGGAGAATGGAAATGATTTCCGATCCCAAGCTGCGCTTTTTCAACGTGTGACAGAAACCAGGCAAGACTCTCCGATGCAGTTACCCGTTCGGATAAAACATTGCTCCGTTTTATGAAAAGTAGAGTCTTACGGTTAACCATTTACTTTAATCTCAATTAAATTATAGTTATTTTGTGTTGCCCAAAATCACAAATTGGCCTCAGGGGGCTTTACGCATTGTGAACACCACGTAACGCACTCTGTGGCTCCGTTGTCTTAATTGTGAGAAATTATGGATACGAAGGAATACGCACTTGGAGATGTTCCCTTGTTTATTGGGGTAGAAAAACTTTGACGTTAATCCTAAAAATAATGACATAGCAGTGAACAGTTATTCTAAGGTGTGAACCAAATAAATGCAGGCGCAAATTAGGAAGACGTTAAGGTTACTTTTTGAGAAAACTTTTCATACCAAAACACAAATACATGCTACTGGTAGAACTCGGCCCTGCCAGGTTCCCTCTGCTCTAGATCATTCTCAACGCCCGCTGCCCCTCTGACCGGCTGCCAAGTGGGCAAGCCCGACCAAGCCAACATGCCACGGCACATTTCATCGCTTTAACCCAAGCACAGGTTGCACTGCGTTAGGATAACGGGTGTTAGAAAAACCGTAGTGCCAAATGGTTCGGTTAGATCTAAAAGCAGCGCCGTCGCACTGTGCTGCGATCGAAAATGAGCAGGAGAAAACCGGTGCCACGGCTTCTTATTGCACCTGCTGCCAGAAGGATGCTCTCACACACACAGTCGGCACACACGGCCATTTCTGAATAGATACGCTGTGGAAATGTATTTGTGTTTTTTTGCACCCTCGCCTTAAAAAAAAAAAAAAAAAAAGCTGCACACTTGTCCACTTACACAGACACACACTATCTATTAGAAGTGAGGAAGGAGTCCGAGCCATTTATTCTCTCCTTTTAGTTTTGTTTTCCATTGCTCCCTCCCTCACTCCTTCCCTGTGCACTTCCTCCTTTCTCAACGCTCCTTTCATCCCTTTGATAGATGGGCTGTATTTGTGGAAATGGAGAGGATTTGGAAGTGTATATATGATTACAGGATCCAGATTGGGGAAGCCAGAGGGAGGGACGAGGACAGAAACAACACATGAAAGAAAAGATCAAAAGCGACCTTGTTGACCCCCGGATCTTTGGACGGAGGACGGGCGGGCGGGGCGGCAATATAAAAGTGTGGGCACAGCGAGAGGCAGGAAGTTAATCCCCCCCAGGTGTTGTGCCAATGTTGGCAGGGGGTGCCAGGCCTGCCCTCTGGCACAGCAGACATTATTACCCCCCTCCCCCCTCTCCCCCCGTCCCATATGCCTCAGTGTGGAGCTCCTTAAAGAGGCTGTCTGAATGGTGAAAGGTGCGGCGGGGGGGGCTGCAGGTGGCAGCTGAAACACAGGACAAAACCTACACACACAAATGCACAGACACAATGGACACTAATCCTGAAATATTGATGCCCATGGAAGTCGCACGTTCAAAGGCAAAGGCAGGGGTGCGTGTGTGTGTGTGTGTGTGTGCGTGCGTGCGTGCGAATGTGAGTTTGAGGTGTTGCGACAGATTACCCACACACCCCTGCTGCTGGTCAAGAAGGTGGCTGTCAAAGGATATCCGATCCTCGCCTCTCCTCTTTCTCCCCTCGCCACCGCCGCTGTTGTTATTATGTATGCAGATTAGTCATTCACACGGGATCAATCACGCTGTTGGCCCAGGTCAACACACACACACACACTAACAAATGCAGACACGCACACACACACACACACACACACTGTTTTGCCACACCAGTGAAGCATGGTTGCCAGGCGGAAAAAGGGGGCGAGATGCATTCATTCACTTTCTATTGTGAACGGATCGAGTGTTAGTCCAGTGAATAGGCGAGGGAGCGCTTGATAATGAGGCCAGTCTTATTACAGAGCCGATGCAGCCCCTAACGACATCAATCCACCGGGATCAAATAGAGGCTTTTAATTGGTTTGCCTCATATTAAAATCCGCGCCGCCCTGGACGAGCTGCCCTCGGCGTGCCTGAGCATAAAAGCCAGCCGAAAGATTTTGTGAAAGGCTATCGTATGAGCAATGGCTCTCTCCATCCTTGTCTTCGCAGTTATATTTGTGTAACAAGCCTATTCATTAGCAGCGGCCGGTCATCATTTTTAGCAGAATATTTGATGACTGGATTGAATATTTATGGCGGTAAGAAGAGCGCGCGGGATCCTGTGTTCATAATGTGCTTTGTGTTTGTTTGCAGGACTGAGTCGGTCGCAGAGAAGATGCTGACCAACTGGTTTACGTTCCTCCTCTACAAGTTTCTGAAGGTGACGCTTTTATTGTCTCCGCTCAACTTGTTTCTAGCCTTAGTTGATGAATCAATGTCAACTCACTGCTGGTTTGCACTAGCGATGGAGCGATTTTCCATGTTTAAAACCACCTGTAGCAGTGATTTCATCTAGCGTGAGATGAGGGCACCAGTACTCCCAAGACATTTAAAAAATCCACCACTCGTCCTCCCACACTCAAACTAATGTTACCATTATCCTATTTTCTTTATCCATCTCTCCACTCATCTTTTTCTCTATGCAACTGTGCAGAGAATACAAACTATGAGAAATGGCCAACTCTTCTTTGATGAACTACTCTTTTTCTGGGTGGCAGATGACGGTAGCTTCAAGATTGTCTTTCATGGCTTTTTCTTTCTGCTAATCCTTGCCAAACTCTGGTTCAGTTTATATATTGATAGTCGGTACGATTTTCTCTAATGACAGTTGGCGGCGTAATGCTTCGATCCCCCGGAGGCAAGGCAGCCTGTGAAAAAGCAGTTATTATATTTTCGATTAAATTTTTGTGGCTTCAAAGTTTTCTTTTGCCCTCTCAACTTTTTTCTCTCTCTTCTGCTCCTTCTTCTCTCTCCAAATGTTTTCGCAGGAGTGTGCAGGCGAACCTCTGTTCTCCCTCTTCTGTGCCATCAAGCAGCAGATGGAGAAGGGCCCCATTGACTCCATCACAGGAGAGGCCCGCTACTCGCTCAGCGAGGACAAACTCATCAGACAACAGATTGACTACAAGACGCTGGTAAGGGGTTCAGCGGCCCGGGGGTTGAAAAGGGGACGCTTTATATGCTTTCAGGGACAAGGGGGGAGGGGGGGGCGAGGGAGAGGATGGTTACGGGTTGTCGGCTGTGAGATGAGCAACGGAACATGAAGTTGTCGTTGTCACGCTTGACACGCAGGCGGAGGGAGGGGAGGAGTGTGGGGGGGGGGGGTGCACATAGGAGCGGCGACCTCCCTTTCTGTGGGGACCGACGCTGTCAGTGGGAAAAAAAGGCTCCTGGATGAGGAGGAATGAAAGAGAATATGCACGTGTCTCTGCGCTAGCACAGAAATGCCAAAGCTCTTACCTTCTGGAACCTCTCATTTATTTCCCAAGTCTGCCGGTCTGTCGTGTTCACTCCACTCTGCAGGTTTATTTGAGCACAGGGGCGGGGGGGGGACACGGCAACTCTTGAGTCTTTCTTTTCAACTGTCACATCTGTTTCTGCAGATTTCCATACTCGATAAATCTCTTGTGAAAGGGACAAAATGAAATAAGTCCTTAAAAACTGCAATCCCTTTTTTTCCACCATATAGACACATTGAAACCACATTTTAAAATAGAAGATAACACATTGACCCCCCCCCCCATGTATGTGTATTTGTGCCTATCTTGTTATTTGGGTAATTTAACAGCTGCAGAGGGTACTGATGAATATGCTAATAAGGTTATAATTACCTGTTTTACTGCTCATTTATTGAGGTAGCACATTGATGTCTCTCCAAGCTTGGAGGAAAAACCGTTTCCCTGGTGAATGATCTTTTCTTTTTCCTGCAATTCTCTCAAAGCCCCTTTGGCCGGCACACAATTATCTCAGTTCTGTTGAGTACCAATTAACTGTGCAATCAACATAATTAACAAAAAAAAACACAAACCTAGCTCTAAACCACCTTGGAAAGCGTATCTACCCCAGGCTAATTACATATATTGCAAAGATTCTAACCTATTACACTTATTTGTGTGTATTTCTTCTTCAGGTGGTGAACTGCATCCATCCGGAGAATGAGAAAAGCCCAGAGATCCAGGTGAAGGTGCTGAACTGTGATACCATCAGCCAGGTGAAGGAGAAGATCCTAGATGCAATCTACAAGAACGTCCCGCACTCCCACCGCCTAAAAGCCTCGGACATGGACCTGGGTAAAAACATTTGTATTATATTTAAATAATGTGAAACAAAAAAAAAAACGAAACACTTTTGATTACCGCGCTGGACGGTTTGAATGAAAGAGGTTACCATCGTAGTTATGACAACGAAGGGATTGTGGAGTTTTTCCCTTTTCTGTATACTTAATATATATCGTATATACCATTAAAATGGGAAATTCATGATTCTAGGGTTCATGATGCTCTTTTTTTTTCCGGCACATCCCTGTAGTTACCATGCAGTGTTCCCATGTATGCCTCGAGAAAAGCAGGCTGATCTGAGACACCAATTGATTTTTACAAAGCCCCCCCCCCCCTCCCTCTCCCAGCCCCTCTTAAAAAGTACAAGTCTTACTAAGTAGCTTTCTTTTCAACCTCAGGAGGCTTGACATCCTGGCTCAGATGTCTGAGATCGGTCTCTCCCTAAACTTCCCATCGATCGACTCTCTTTTCGACTAGCGCCTGAGTCAGATGATTGATCGATCGATCAGCTGATCAATTGAGACGCTCACTGATTTCTTCCCTACAAAAATCATTTTTTGGAGTGTCCTCGCTTTCTTTCTTTCTTTCCTTTCTTGCTTTCTAGGAAAGGATTGGATATGTTGGAACAACTTGAACTATATAACTATTGACTATATGAATACGTGCCTCTTTTGCCCTTCATGACCCCTGTGAGCAGCTACAATATGAAGTTATTTTCCCTGAGTTGTGTAATTGTATTTTTTGGGTACCTCTAACCCAATGTCTAATGTATTTGCAAATTGCTTTAAGGTATTGGTGCAATTTTCTCCAAGACATCAAGACTTGTACACTGTGTGTTGGAGCGTGTACATGACTTTTGCACAGACGTGCATGCTCAGGAGCACAACAATGTTATCCATGATTGTTTGCCTGGCGATATCTAGCGGCTGTCTCTGCACGCGGCACGGTGCTTTTTATGGTTTAATATTGCCGATGGATTTTGTGGGCCCCTGTTGTGTGTTCTTAATGGCATATTTATAACCAACCTCAGATTTAAAGCGGGCCGAGTGCACACCGCAGGGAATCTATCTTTGTGGAAGCTAAGTGAAGAGATCCGTGTAGCCTTGTGATGGATAAAATAGTTTTATGGCCGCCTTCGGGCAGGATGTGTTGTCCTGTTATTGTTTTATTACAAAAGGGAATTAGAAGTTGTCAGAGTTAGCTGGTCAGGCTCTGTGTGTGTGTGTGTGTGTGTGTGTGTGTGTGTGTGTGTGTGTGTGTGTGTGTGTGTGTGTGTGTGTGTGTGTGTGTGTGTGTGTGTGTGTGTGTGTGTGTGTGAAAGCAAGCTGCACCTCGCGTGCTGCACACATTAGAAGCACGTTTTATCTTATTCACGGGTCCATAAATGAACATGATGGACCTTTCTTTACACCCCTTTAGGTTTTACTTTTAATATGCACGCCATGCTGTTCTAATTAGTATTTCTTGGTATTGTGCTTTTCGTGTTGATGGTAATGGTTCAGGGATCAGGTTTTCCATTTGATTTGATTTGTCATTCTGACAAACTTTTTCACTTAGAGATGCTCTGCTATATGCAGTCATGCAATATCAGTGGCTCTCTTGATCTCTAATAAACACACAGACACGCACACACACGTGGACGGATTAGAAAGGGCGATAAGCGTAATGAGATTGTGGCAGGCCTGTGCTGAGTTATCCCAGATATTATTTCTGATTCCCCTCTGCTGCAAGAACATGTGGCCTCAGAGCAAAGAAGTGAGGCCGTGTGTGTTGGTGTGTGTGTCCTTCTTTGCGTGTTACTAGTAGCAAATGCGTGTCATGCATCTCTGTGGAGCACGACAGTGACCTTCAGCCGTTCTCCTCACCACAGCTTCCATACACTCCGCAACGCCCTTATCTCTTGATGTGTGCGAGTCTGAAAGTTTCCATGCGCAGACACACTGTTCTCTTCCCTCTGAGCAGCGGCCACTGGATTTAATCCCTGTTTGCTCTGCTTTCAAGTTTTTATCTTTTCTCCTTTTTTGCATGTGTTTACTGACACTCGACTGGAGCCTCATTTGCATCTTTATGAAAAAGATCTACTGTATAAACAAAAACAACAGGAGAATCCTTTTTTTTTTTTTCCTTCTTTTTACAGACCCAAAAACTATTCTGGTCAATTCTCCATAGACGGGCCTCATCATGCACACAGTGATTGGCGCTTTGTTTTGCTGTATGTGATCAGAATAGGAGATGCCAGTGGTCGATGCAAGTGGGAAGCAGAGCAAGGAGCACCGGCACAATAACGTATTCACAAAGCAGAAAGAATAGAGGAATCATCTGCCTGTTTGCCTTTGAGATGCCTCTTTTCACTGATGATAATGTTGCCTGGGTATTGTTATTATCGTTCAACGCTTTTGTTTTGTTGCGTGGAAGCCTTGTGTTGATGCTATACAGTTGTCATTTGGTTGTAATGTCATGTAAATGCCGTCCTGTCTCTTTTTTTAATGAAGGGCACTGCCGCGTTCGCTGTAAGTTGCCCGTTGAAATGGAGCTTTCTGGTCCTCCGTGTGCTGTGGGATACGAGCCCGGCGCGTCTCCACCAAAGCCCCCCTGCAATAACAATAAGAACGGCGGGGGGGCTTAGAGCGGGGGCTGTGGGTTTGAGGAGCGGAAAGCGGGGAGCAAAAGCGCCTTCAGAGAGCAACTGATCCCACTCATCGATCGCAGAGATGGAGAGAAGTTAGAGAGGACGGCGGGTGATCCGTTGAACTGTTGTGACCGTCTGTCGACTAGTTTTACATCGCTTTGCCTTTCTATTCTTCTCTGTAGGTTGTTTTACTTTTCGTCCTTAGTGATTCCATTCAGGATTTTCATGACAATGTGAGATAAAGATGAAGATAGTAATTACTTTTCTGACTGATTAATGGTGATGGTGACTTGTCTGCTTTTCCTGTGGCAGTAATATTGTGTGAATGAAGCTTGAGACGTCCTCATATATATTTTTTTTCTTTTGCTGTTGCAGAATGGCGTCAAGGTCGGGGACAGCGCATGATCCTGCAGGACGAAGACGTCACCACGAAGATTGAAGCCGACTGGAAGAGACTGAACATGCTGTTCCATTACCAGGTTTGCGTCACACTGTATCTTCTGGGATGTGAAAACTGCAACAAACTCTGAATATTTCCTCGAACTTGAGCGTAGGTTTGGGCCCATTTTTTTCCCCTGGTGTCGGACTGCAATACCCATTTGTGTTAATTATTACCAAAGACAAATATATTTAGCGTAGGTATTTCTGTACAACTAAAGTATCAAATATATAAAAAAAGGTATTAAGAGAAAACATTATCTTCCGAGACATCTTATCAAACTGACCTCGTTTATTTGAAGGCATTCATCCTATTCTCACACCACACTTAAACAAATACAATTACGCAGCTCAAAGGCCTGATATTTAAACATAAAAGCTATCTGGATGTGTCGTTGTTACCAACCATCATCGCTCTGTTGCATTTCTCAACTCCTTCACCTTTTACTCCAAAGCCGACCGGATGACCTGCACTGAGCTGCAAAACTATCTAATGGACAATTCAGTCAAGGAACTTTTCCAGCTGAGCGGGACACACAGACACACACACAACTTATAGCAGGTGAAGCGGAATGAGGCAGGGCCAGGTGTGAAAGTGACCAACAACAGTGGCACTTGGAAGTAATCCTTTGTGAATGCGGAGAGAGCTTGAGATAAAATGTATTGCTGGCCAAGTGTCTTCTCCCCTCTGAAATGGATTAGTGTTGCCACCGATTTCCCGTCCAAAATAGACCCACAAGTCATCACAGGCATGCAAATGCCGGGTAAGGGAAAAGGGACGTAGGTGTAACTGGCAGTAACACAAAGACCTGCCCGACTCACAAAGAGGAGACAAAACGTGCATCTGCAGGTGTTTCGCGCCTCATGAGTGACACGTGTCCATCCGTCCAGCCAGAAGGACACTGGATGGAACGGCGTTAACGCTCGGAGCAGCTGAGCAAGCAGCCACTGTCCCGTCTCCCAAGTGCAGTTTGCGGCGCGGGCTAAATTAAATGTCAGCATCAGCGCGTGTCAACAGGCTCGCAGTATGAGGCGCGGGTGGAATGGATTAGGGAGCTGATTAGAATCCGAGATAAGATAATGAAGACAGAAGTTAATTCATTTTTTCCGTCCAAAGAATAAGGGCGCCTTATCCTTGACAGAGCAAAAAAAAAAAAAAAAAAGGAAACACTCCCATCCACATATTGTCATGAGGCTGCGCAAAAGGCCCAGGAAGGGGAGGGGAGGCCACGAACACATTTAGACTTCATAGCAGATTCGTGGCATTTCTGGCTCCTGTTTTAACTTTATTTAATCGAGGTGTGTCATCTTTATATCACTGCATTGAAGGTCCCTTCCTAATCAAATCCGTTAATGCAATCTATCGAATGATGCCGCTCATGCCGACCCGGATGTGCTGCTAAATGTGCTGGTGTGATGCCCTGCAGACTTCTTGTATACATATAGTTTGTCTTTTTGGAAGCTAATATGACCAGCCAGACACACCAAATAGAATTATGAGCTCTCTTCGTACAAACTGATCTTGTTTCATCTGCTACTAGCATTACTCACCCACTCACTCTGCCTTCAGTTACGCTGTGGCGGTTTGTGTCACACACTTTGATTTCTTGTAAAGGGAAACATCCCATAGTAGCTACAAGGTGGCATTTGGCATATTAGATTTCTCTCCTCCTCCTCCTCGTCTATATCAGGAAACTCTGCTCTGCTTTCTGCCTGAATCCTCTCTTCCAAATGTTATTTCCCCAAACGCCACTTCTCCTCCTATTATGTTCCATTATGCTTTGCTCGTTTTATAACCATTCAACATATAAGGGCAGCAGTGATTAGGTAGCATGCTTAAGGGCGTATCCCACAAAGGAATAACTAAATCTGCCCTGTGGGCCTCCTGCTTACAATAATATAAACATATTATTCATAAAGAGCAGATTGAGTGACTGCGTGACCTAATGATACAATCTTAAGAAGGCCGCAGCCTGCACACACACACACACACACACACACACACACACACACGTATGCATAAAAGGCCCCTGGTCCTTGTTCCCACACTTCAATTAGCCCCACTCACCCCCCACTCTGCAGCACGGGTAGCCAGATTATAGAAAAAATTATTGTGTTTTTTTTTTTTTTTTTTTAGGCGAAAGAACGGGGTTTTATAGGCCCCCGTTGGAACGAACAACACTCCCCGTTGTGTTATATTGAAACCCTAAATGGTTTCCTTTGAAAGAAAAAAAAAAAACCCCCTTACAAACTTTTATTTCCACCCCTTTTTTTCCCACCAGACACCCCAGGAGTTTTACCCTCTCTATCCGGCTTCCACCCCCAGAGAGAGGTTTTTTAAAAAGAGCCTTGTGATATCCCCCCCCCCCCCCCCCCCCCTCACACAGGCCCATATGATGCTCTATTAAACTCTCCCTCCCCCTGTCATCATATGTATGTGTGGGCTGAATGGAGCACATAAGGGTAATGCAATGTTCTCTGTTCATCCGCATGAAACCAGAATAGATGGAGGGAAGTATAGAAAATGACACCCACACAGTGATCTATGGGTTTTCTGATTGGCTGTGTTAGAAATCTGCACAACTGAAAGAAAACTGTTGTTTTGAAGCGTCATTTGCATAATGTGCCTCTGTGGGTTTTTCAGGTAACTGACAATGCGGTGATGGCTTTGGTTCCCAAGCAAGTTACTGCCTACAATTCAGTAAACAATTCCACCGTGTCTCGGACCTCTGCAAGTAAATATGGTAAGCCCCACCCCTTTCTTCAGCAGTATGTCTGCCAGAGAGACATTTCACCAACAGATGTAATACAAGCAAAATGGGAGAAACCACATGTACAGTCCTTCAACTCAAAGATAGACGGAATGAATTGAGGAGGGATTCAAGTCCATCAGATCTCAATATGAATCTGAAATGTGCGTCTACAAAATACAATATACGACTGCTGAAATCTGTGTGATCCTGCAGCAGTGGATGCTCCCTCCTGTCAGTGGACGGCGGGTGACACGCTTCCACGCGACCCTGCATGACAACACTGATGGACACAGAAGGACGAGACACAATATCAGAGTATTTGAAAGGATTCCCAAAACATAACACGATACCAAATAGACTTTTCATCTCTTGTTCTGGCCTCTTTGAGTCCAAAGCGTGTCCTCTCATCCTGTTTTTTTTTTTCTTCCTCTGCCTGTCCGTCTGCTCCACGTCTCCTTGAACCAGAGAAACCATCTAGTTACTTGCTGATCAAAGGCCCGGCCTCACAGGCCACAAACACTTCAGACACATCAAATGTGGCGCCACATTATTAGCGTCGGCTCATCTCCATAGCGTCTCACCTCACGTCTCCGGCTCCAAATTAGACCGGACAGGACAAGGTGAGCAGCGCGAGAGAAAAGGAAAGGAGGCCGGGAACATCGCCACTTTTTCTGTTTTTTGTAAGGGGGTTGACTTCAAACGCAGGTGTGATCCACTTAGCGGCCGGTGTGGTACTTGAGAAGGACTTTGAACTCACCACGAGTACAATGGCCAGATAGTGGAGAAAGAGACGAGGTTGAATTTAATCCAGCAACTGAAGAAGAAGGGGAAGGAGAGCGGAGCAGGATGGAGAGTCCGACGGAGAAAGAAGAAACTTCTGTGTCTTTGACCAAAACTCAAATCTCTCGCCTCCAACTAGTTGAGCGGAGCTTCTTAAAATCTATTTTTACAGACTGGCTTTTATGTCAAGTTATCGCTTTGATGCTTTATTTTATTGTGGATTTATCTAACAAAGTTAGAGTTAAATATTTCTCACACACACGTGGCTGGTAACAGTGGCCAGTTGATCAAACTGTAATTTAATTTTAACACACACACACACACACACACACCTCTGAACAGATTGATTTCTGCCACGATGAAAAACACTTGTTTTCTTCTCTCTCTCTAAACCGCACCCTCTGATCAATTATTTTCTTCACACTGTGTGAACATGAAATGTCATGGCCAATGGGTGGGCCATACATATTTCATCTCGTCTGACACATGTTCGATAATGTGTCATCCGTCGATACCACGTCTCGTCCCGGAGAGGAGAAGCTATGAAAAATTAACCGTGCCCACTGTCTAAAAGTTTCATGCCCAATCTCCCAGACATTTTAAATTGGCTGCCATGGGGCCAACAGAATGCTTTCTCTTGCTGCCATGTAGCTTATACGTGTCCTTGCTTCAGTTTTGTGCTGCAGAGCTGTGATTGTATTTTTCACCATATAGCCTACACATCCTCATTGTACATGTTGACAAATAATGAGATAAATGCAAATAATTATTTCAGTGAGAAGTTAGAAACCGATGGAAACAGATGAAGGGACATTTTCTGATCAGCAGTCATGTTATATCAATGCGTGCTGTGTGCTTCCACAGAGAACATGATCAAGTACACCGGAAGCCCCGACAGCCTGCGTTCCCGCACTCCCATGATCACTCCGGACTTGGAGAGCGGGGTCAAGGTTTGGCACCTGGTGAAGAACCACGAACACGGAGACCAGAAGGAGGGCGACCGCGGCAGCAAGATGGTCTCTGAGATCTACCTGACACGACTGCTGGCCACCAAGGTGAGCCAGAAACCATCTCCTGCCTCCTGCGCCAGCCGCTCTCCATTTGGATGAGTTGCATTAAACGGAGCATTTGATTACAAGGTGACAAAAAGGTGGAACACACCTTCCCAGTATTGGATTTGGAGATGATTTAGTACTTTCCGTAAAGCGGGTCAGCAGGGGAAAAGGTTACTTTAACCTTCACCCTGTGTTACCATGACTCAGAAGACCCTTTCTTTAATTTAAATATTCACATTTACTCCGAATGAGTCATCCCAGCGGGTAGGATTATTCAAATGTATTCCTCTATCCCCCTCAGGTGGGAATGAGAAAATAGATATTTGTTGTTTTCTCTCCGCATTGCTGTTGTTTTGATGCGGCAGCATTTCAAAAAAGGGAAGAAGACGCGTTCCACGGCGCTAGCAGAGGGGTTTCTGTAAGAAGAAGAAATTATTAAGCCAAAAAATAGAGATCGCTATAAAAATGACTGTTTGAAAGTGCCTTCCGACGATGGCCTCCGAGGGGGGAAAGCAGTTAATTTTCGTTCGGAGGGAAATGTGACTTTGATGAAACAGCTGAATGCAAATTCCCGGGCCCCTCTTAAATCCCTTTATCACCCCCCCCCCCCCCCCCCCTTTTCCCATCAAGACATCCCCTCCGTGTAGGAAGGTGTGGGAAAGAAGGAAAAACACAAAGAAAGGCTGCAAACTGAAAATGTTCAGATTGTGATGTTTTAAATTGGGAACATTTGAGTTTGTTTTTGATCCCATAGAGAACGTCGAGCTCAGTGTTTCAGTGATACATTCAGTGGCGGAGGTATGAAACCGAGCACCTTACACACAGTAGATGCCATTAAACTCATTTATGGTGCAGGGCCATGAACAGTTTAATTTGTCTTTGAATTAGTCCATACACATAATATGCAAACAAGTTAAAAGTATTTTGTTTGAAAAATCAAACTATATAGAAGCCAATGTAACTTCTGCTTAATAGCACACGGCCAAAAGCCCAAAAGTCAGAGAGGTAACAACAGATTTATGGCCACCGGTCAAAGCAGTTTAAGTGAGGCTGTAAAGAACCCCGAGGGAACTAATCTAAGAAAAGTCAATGTTATTTCCTGTGCCTTCAACTTCGATTCTGAGGGGGAAGATTGTTTTTTATCTTCTCTAAAACGCTACACGGAACTGAAGTGAACCACGGACATCTCCGACAACGTGACAACCAACCAAACGTGTGCGGGCTGACGAGCAAAAACCGGCAATGAGCGGGACGTGATCGGCAACTTAAAGCAAATGAAGGAACGAATGGGAGAACAGGAGGTCACGCGACACATTCCGTACACTCCCCCCCCCCCCCCCCCCCCCCCCCCCACGCACGTGGACGCCGCCCGTCGCCCTCCGCCAGCCGCTCTATTTCCCGGCCATTATCTCGCTCCACAATGCCGGGAGTCGGTTTCCGACTACGGACGTCATCCTTCCAGATGGATTGCTTTTGCGAAATAACCTGTTTATCTTAGGCGGCCATCTCTCTTGGTGAGGAATGATTGGGCCGACAGGCGGGGTAATTGACCGCGTTTGGCTTTCACCTGGCCAATAAATACCTCTCCCCGGCGACGCCGCTGACGTCTCTCCCATTAGCGCCGTCGGTGTCGCCGTGACCGAGTGCCGAGGCGCGTCCACGCGCGCCCAGGAACGATTGCGCGGTTTTCACCACTCGAGCGCCAAAGCGCGCGCGTTGTCCGTCTCTCCGTCGCCGGCCCTCCTCTTCACCTCTCCGTTTCATCGCCGTCCTTCCTCCGCCTTCTGGTCGTCGTCTCTCGTCATATAAGCGCGGAGGCCGACGGCATGAAAACATCTTGATGACAGGCTGCGCTCTAATGACAGGGTGGATGCTCCTGTGATGACGGCGACGCAGGTTTCGGTTGCCACGTACACACACACAAAACGTTAGGTTTCCCCCTCGCCGACTAACGCAGTCCGTCACTGGGGAGGAACGCGGGCTTGATTTACAGATGTGTAATTCCATCTTCACAGAAAGACGATAAGCTGCCCGGGAATGTGGGCCACATTAAAATTGTCCGACTAACTGGATTCTCGCCTCTACCTCTCGTGACGCTGTGATTCGGTCACCCGTTCCAACCCAAATTGGATTTTTATTTGCCAGTGCCTGTACACACCTCATCTGCCACACTCAATGGCCTCTTTTCCTGATGGGAAACCGTCGTCGTTTCATTTCCACTGCTCGCTCTCGCCTTTTCCCCGTGCATCCCATCAGCTCATTCTTTACAAGAGGATTAGATTCCCTCACTCTGTCTCTCCTCTCTCTTCTTCTCCTCCTCCTTAAAGTCGCCAACATTAAATCAAATTAGGGTCAATGGTGCAGTGTGGAAGCTAATCCGGCAGCACAAAGAGGCTTAGGAGATGCGCCTCCTGTTCCTCGATATTATTAAAAGTCAGCTGTGAAATAACAATTTCCCCCCGTCAAAGCCGCATGCAGATGTAGGGCCGAGGTCTGTGAGATTGCAGTCAGACATATAAACATCAGAGGTGTGGCGCGCGCCGCAAAACCTGCACTCGAACAGGAAGAAAAGCAGGCGTTCATACCGATCTGTCGACTTTGTGAATTGGTATGCAGCTAAATGTATACGGGGAGTTTCATTCAACATACATCTTCATATTCCATCTAAGTTGCCAGTATAATTTCTGCCAGGTGAATCATTCAATTGAATCTGAGAGCAAGTGTGTGTGTGAATGTGGGCACGTTGGTGTCTGATAACTGCATGAGTTTTACCGCAGTCATGGCTGCATGCTCAAAGACCTCTTTTGGTTGCCTTGGTTTACACAGTTTTGAAAATAGATCTTTTATAGCCCGGTTTTCTACTTCGGACTGACTCCTCACTCACTGCTCTCGATCGGCCTGCTGGCGGCTTGTGGAAACTCCAGCAAGAGAAATAACTTTCCAGAAGCTTTTAGCAACGCTATTGTAAACCCGGAATTGGTATTGTGTGTAACAGGTCGTGACTCCTTTAATTAAACACCTGGTTCAGGGTTTCACATCATCGGTTTTTCATCTTTTTTTTTTTTTTTGCAGGGTACGTTGCAGAAGTTTGTGGACGACCTGTTTGAGACCATCTTCAGCACGGCCCATCGAGGCAGCGCCCTGCCGCTGGCCATCAAATACATGTTTGACTTCTTGGATGAGCAGGCCGACAAACACAGCATCCACGACCCGCATGTCCGACACACATGGAAGAGCAACTGGTGAGTTGAGCGGTTTAAGCACATACCTTCAAACACAGGGACTCCAGGACCACTTGAGAAACTGGTGAGGCAGATCCTTTGGCCTTTGACAGACACACACAATTGATATATCCTTCCAATACACCAGTGTGGTGGTGCTTTTCTTAATGCACTGCAGACACAATCTGTACATTCAGGCATATTTCTCACAGCATATCCCACTTTTTGCCCTGTGTCAGTGCCAACATTCACCACACGCTTCTTCCCTCCCTAATACCCACTAACCACAGGGGCATGTAATCTTCATTAAAGCCATCCACAAGGGGCTAATCCAATTGGCTAGCGAGACGCCATCTATTATCATGGATAACTGGGCCAAAAAAAAAAAATCGCCTGTTACTGGGAAAAGCTCCGTAGTGACAAATATACGCCCCACAGGTGACGGGAGCACACCTCTAAATTAAGACCGTCTGCTTAATTTAGACCGTACTGACCTCCGTCAGCCCACCTTCAGAGATTGGTATGGGTTGACTAACCAACAGTGCAACAGAATGCAGTGAGGAGAGAAATGAAAGTGAACTCAGTGGGAGTTAAACGCACACTAATATGTCATTAGCCTCCTGGCCTCTCGCACCATGCATCACTCAGTCCAGGGCTCAGAGAAATCAGCGAGGATAAAATTGATGCGCATCAAGGGACAAATAGTGAAATGTGTAGGGAGAAGCTAATGGAAAAAAACAACATTTTTTTACTTTACAATATGATCTTGATTTCGGTTCTTTTTCTGCTCCTTTGTTATTGGGCCATTTGCAGTGTGCGTTAAGTGTTTTCAGAGGTTGCAGAAGGTCGCTTTTTACATTGGACCCTTAATGGAATGGGCTCTCAGTAGGAGGCTGTGACTGAATAGCAATTTATCATAACGCACCATCACAAAAAGCCACTTAGATTACGCGCAACCGTTTGCCATAGGTATCTTCTCTGTGCGAGATGTGAGTCTTTTCACTTCTTACCGTGTGCTTACTTGTAACCTTTGAAATCGTTTCAAATTGAGTGCAAATGTCCGCTGCAACAAAAACCTTTTACTAATGCCAGCATCCCTCCCATGCTGGGCCCCCTTGTCCCATTAAACCTACCAGGCCAATCGTCATCATACACGCTATTAAGTTCAATCCATCAGTGCAGCCAGAGCTCCTCCCCCCACCTCCCCTTCAGGATTCCACTGCCATCAAAGCCCCACTGTTCATCCTCTGATGTAGTCCTAATGCCACATCATCTCTCAGCCTGCGGCGCCCCGGGGCCTATCATCATACTATGATTTTTGTAAATGGCCGGATAACTTACCATTAGTTCTTCACAAATATCATTAAAAGCTTTCGGAAAGGAAGGTTTGATTTGCATAACCCATACTGACATTGGATGGGCAACAGTTTTTCTATACGCTTAATATTTTATAACAGTGTGAGGATGTATTATGCTTCCATACAGTTGCTGATAGTAAATAGTTTGAGACATTTCAGATTCCCTTTGATTCCACACAACGGCCACATACTTAAATTGTTGCCAAAATTAATTCTGACCCAGAAAATAATGTGTTGTCCCTCACACCACCTTTGGGAAAGTGATAGCATTGCGCTCCTGTGCATTCCATTTTAAAGGTTTAAAGTAAAATGTTATGCATATGCCAATTGTAATTGTGCGGGAAGAATTCAGTTAACATGTTATTTCTGCATTGTGTGACAGAGCTGCACGAGTCACTGGCTCCGAGAGCATCTCCAGATGGTATCTTTTGGATTAGCGGCAGTGTGTCAGCCTCTCCTCTCATCCGGACTCTCCTGCATTCGGTGTCTCCGTCTGCAGCGTTTGTCATGTTGAGACGCAACAGACAGAATTTTAATTATTGTGCAAAGCTGGCACACACCCTCGTATTTGCTGCTCGCGGATAACTATTATCTTCTGTCGTAACTCAAAACCACCCACACAGATTGCTAATGGCGTTTCTAGGACTTCTAGGGGTTGAGTTAATTATCGGTAAAATAATACGGTGTGTAATTGACAGAAAGTTTCGATTTAGTTTAAGGTCTTTCCCCGAATATACAGCCAGCAGCCTGCCATTCACATGAAAGGTGGTGGCGTTTTGCCTCCAGAGGCCCGGTTGGAACCACACCCAGTCAGGTCACCTTTGTAAAGCTGTTAGTTCAAACCTCGGATCGCTGCATGGGGGAAAAAAAGGAAGTCTGATTTGATCCGCTCCCTGCTTGTGCTGCAATGCCTCAAATGAGATGCCCTGGCACCAGAACATCTGTGACCCGAGCAACTTTGTTAGGCTTGACTATGGCAGTAGGACAGAATCCCACAACTGCAGATTCAGTGGCTCGTTGGCTTTGGAGTGTTTGTGCCAGAAGTGCAAACTAGAAGAGATACCCTTGATGTTGGCAGCTGATATTTAACCTAATCCCAGTACCAAATGGACCAATCATGTCAATCTTTCATATTCGTATATCCACACAGGGTAACTGCTTTGCTCACTTCCAACACAATAGACAGTGTAGACGTTATTATGTTGATCGTTTTGAATGCACAGTCATGTGGAGAAGCCCATCATCTTAGTCTACACTGCCGCATTGAAATTGCACGTACCTCAAAGCACAGGGCAGCTGAGGCAGATTGACAACTATCAAGGCAGCACAGCGGTGGTGTTAATATCCCTTTGATCCCTGCGCCTAATCCCACTAAATTCTTTCGCCAGATTAATTTCAAAAGTCATAATGCTGAATTTTCCTTTCTCCAAGTCCAAATCCTCTTTTGATAGATGATCATCTGAATGGCTTTGTGGATGGTGTGTTCAATGATAAATGTATTATGGTAGGGGAGCATCGTGGCATTTTAGTTTGGTTTTTATTTCCACTCACCCTTTTATATTGTTCCAAACATAGCACTCCTATACATGCTGCAGTGTGCTTCCTGTTTGATTTGACACATTACCTAAATATGCATAGCCAAGAAGCGCAGCTCTTTTTTAATACCACCTGAGCCCATTCACTGCAAAACGCAGATAAAGCTGGCTCTATATCGTTTCATTTTGGCAGAAACAAGCCCAGCAAATAAACAGACTTGTATATTTTTATTACTATGGACAGGCACAAAATAGAACCCACGTGCACAAACAATGCAATACGAACTGTGTCACTGTGCGGCCCCAAATGAGGACCCCTGGACACTGCAGGAAAGAAGAGCCAGCCACCACCTGGTTTTAAAGATAAAGCCTTTATTGAACTGAACACACATCCAATAGAGCACAGCAGCAGCAGCCGACCTGTACACTAGCTTTGCAAAGGGAATGAATCCTTGTTCCCGTATTTATTGCCTGACTGGCAATAGCAAACATGAAAATGGTATTCAGACACCTCTTCTCGGAGCAGTTCCAAGTCACTGCATTCTTTGTCCCTCTGATTGCAAGGCTATTTGGGTGTTTTTGTCACTGAGATGTAACTGGACAATAGACGTTCTGTTTCAAATCTAGTGGACCAATTACATTGGCATGAAAATAAATTGGAAAGGAAAATCCATTTGAATCGAGATTGTGCATAATTGCAACTAGTGTGCCACTAAATTCCTTCGTTCTCCTCCCTGCAGCCTACCTCTGCGTTTCTGGGTGAATGTGATCAAGAACCCCCAGTTTGTGTTTGACATACACAAGAGCAGCATCACAGATGCCTGTCTGTCTGTGGTGGCCCAGACCTTCATGGACTCCTGCTCCACCTCAGAACACCGCCTTGGAAAGGACTCCCCCTCCAACAAGCTGCTTTACGCCAAGGACATCCCCAGCTACAAGAGCTGGGTCGAGAGGTGAGCTGTTGATAATTGAACAAACCAAACAACACTGGATGGATGAAGAGTGTGCGTGGAAACATCAGAAAGCCTTCCTTAGTTTCATTCCAACACCCACACAATGTTACTGTGGCTCTGTGATCTATGGGCCATGAAACAAAATCCAAATTACAACACAGTGGGAGTAGATGGGAACGCCCAGGGCTCGCAATCTACAGTACAGACGTGTGTTTGTGTGGAGGAGTACGAAAGAAATCCGTTTTTTCTGTAGTTGTCAGAATAGCAGGCAGTAGACTGTGGTAATTTGTTCAAATTAGATTTTTATTAAATGGATTTGTTAGCAGGGGAAGAAAAGAGCTCCTGAATAAAACATGGGGTAGTGTGAAGTGAGTGGAAGCAAAGGTGGAGCTTCAGGCTCAGGAACTCACTAGTCCCCGCTGTGCAGCAAGCTAGTATTATTTTTGCCTAAACATTTCAGAATTTAATGGCATAAAATATCACCAATACCTAAACAGAAGCCTGCAAGTAAAATATGGATACTGAATTGTATGTGGGTGAGTTAATGGTCTCCAGGTATTGATAAATCATGTCACTGGCCTCACAGCATACATGCAATGACTTTCTATTTGCCGATTGCATTGAGGGATCCAGACTTATAGCAATCTTTGTGCCTTGCGTATGCAGCAGTAAGAAGGATCTGTTCATCTGACCTGTCCGTCACACAGGAGACAAACATCACTGCAAGCTTGTAGAAAGCATGCTGGAAAAAAAAGGTTACTCATCTTTTAGCGCCATGATAAACAGATTAATTCTCAAGCTGATATTAATACGAACACTTTTTTCCCGACACGGGTTGTCTGCACAATAACGCTCCAGAAGCTTCCTTGTGTGTGTGCGTTAGTGGTCTCTGTGCACAGCCAATGAGCAACACCCACCTGCCGCTCAGTTTGCCACAAAGATTTGCTTCCTGGCAAATCCGTCTCTCGCACACACATGCCCAGAATTATGCAGCCAAACACCAGGCCCGTCAGAAATGTAATATGTAAATAACCTTTAATCAACACAGCTGCTGTTGACAGTGAGTGATTGCCACCACCTCAGTGCATGTGTTGTGTTGGAATCTGAGGCCTGTTAGTGTCAGGCGTGACTTTGTGACGTTACTCACAAAGGAAACCGCAGCAGTAACTTATTTCATTTAATCTTTTTAAACCACGTCCTAACAATTATTTGCTTTGTTCCCTTCCTCTTTTAATAGGTACTATTCAGACATTAGTAAAATGCAAGCGATCAGCGACCAGGACATGAACGCGTACTTGGCAGAACAGTCAAGGATGCACATGAATGAGTTCAACTCCATGAGCTCTCTCAGTGAGATATACTCGTATGTGGGGAAATACACTGAGGAGGTATGTAAGACGTTCAACACTTTGTCATCATTATTCTAAGATTTCGTACAATTCATACACACTGTTATTGATATTTGGTTAGCAGAGTTGAAGGAATATTCCAGTGAAATGGGTTTAATATAACCGAGGAGCAGCAGCTGTAGTCATTGCAGACTCTCAGCTCTTACGATGGATTCTAACTACAATGCAAACAGGACAAGATTCAATGCATTTTCTAAATAATTACCACCAACTTGCTCCTTTTTCTGTAACGATTTGATACTTGTTCTCCACAGTGAGAAAGATGCATATTTGAGTGACTAATGTTAACAGAAGGTTCCTGTAACTGCTTAAAGTTAGTTGTTTTTGTCAGTATAAAACACATTAGAGCATCTTTAATACTAATTTACCAGATGGGAAATGACGGCTTGCAGCGTACTTTGAGTGTCTGACGTCTTTGTTGTCTGTGTTTACCTCTGTCCTGCTGGTAGATTGTGTGTTCACTGGAGCAGGACGATGCAGCCCGGAAACAAAGGCTGGCCTTCAAGCTGGAACAGGTGGTGGCCTTCATGAGTCTGGAGAGCTGAGGACCGCACTTCCCAGGGCGCACTGGGAAAAGACCCCATCAGAAACCGAGCCGTGCCTGAGCGAAGACCCGTCCCCATCTTTTTCATCATGTGACTTCCTCCCTCCGCCTTTCAAAGATGATGACTTCTTCCTTGACCTTATTCTGCTTCCTCTTCCCTAAGAAATATGTTGTTTTCCTCATCCTCTCTGCTGCATAGACTAGTTTACCTGAAGATCACTGGAGGGTGGTTTTGGGGCTGAGGTCGGCGTTTCCCACAATGCAATGCGGGGCATTCCTCAGCTTCGCCACGGAGAAAGATTCAAGGGGGGGGGGGGGGATTGCTTGAAAGCTGGCCATATTGGCATACTTCAGCCCCCCTGCTGGAAGAAAAGAGGGGGGGGGGGGGGGACATTTTTATGTTGCCTTTAAGAATTTACGCTGATAGGTAATTCTTTAAAAACCACAAATGTTGGGTGTCCATTTTTGTTGAGAACTTTTTCAGAAGTAGGATAGTGAAAACATCTCTAGAGTCCAGTTTATTGTAGTTCTATATTCAACGTACGGAATCAAGAGGAAACATCAAAAGCGATGCCTGCAAGCCAAATGAACACCTCTGAAGAAAATGAATGCAAGGATGGTTTGCCAAGTTTACACTGTACCTACAAGCGAAGCATACATATCTGCAAAATTTGGGGCGAGTCCAGGCAAAACCAGAATGTTCTTGTGCTCTCTCTCAATGTAGCTGGAGTTGTAATTAAGAAAAAGACTGATGGGGGTCGGGAAGAAGTAGTGCTTCTTTGAACTTTTCTGTTATTGAAACTTGACTGACACTGAAACTTTTAAGTACCAGAACATCCCCAAACTTGTACCCCTTTACAACATTCGCACATTTACTTCAAAGAAAAAGCTCATGATTTCTGCTTCCATCTGGCTTACGTGTCTGCTGCGAAAACCACCTATCAAACAAATCCCCGGGGAGCCTGACCCAAGTTGGATCCTCTGAAAGAAGCACACAGCCACCTCTGGACAACAGTGTTTGACTGCTGATCCAAATACCAGGAGCAGTCTTTCTCTGGCTCTTGGCGCTCCCGTTTTTGTGTCGCAACCGCGACGAGTCTTATCAAAGCACACATACACGCACACAATCAGCAGCTGCACAAGATCCTGACTGCCCAGATATCTACGACAAGCCTGGAGGGGAAAAGCTGACTGCTTCGACGTTTAAAATGCGAACGCATTGTAGCCTGAGACGGCGGACTGCTCCCCAACGGGGTTCTATTGTGAGAGTAGCACCTCTTTCCCAGGATGTTCTAATTTAAAGACTTTTGTGCGGGGATACCTAACAAGATGGACTTAAAATCGGTCAGCCAAAAAACCAAAGGAGCTTGAAATTTTAGAATTGGTCAAAAATGTATTTGTAAAGTGCCACTGAGGAACTGACAAAAAAAAAAGGAAAACTACCATTTCTAGGACAAAAAATATTGTGACTGAAACTTTACAAAACCTGTGATTTTCTGACCTCAGTGTGTCGAGGTGAGAGGCGCTGCGGGCGAGGTGATACGATCCTCCTTCCTCTTTCCATCGTCCCAGGTTGTCTCCCGTTCTCGCCACACCGTTTGCCCTCGTGTCCGGCTCCAGACTTACACCTTTTCTGTTCTGCACAAGCATTGGAGATGGTAGCTAGTTGCATACAGCAAAAATCCTAACTGTTGAGGCGCTCTTGTCTGTATTAGTGTAGTTGTCCTCAGTGGCGGCAGGGGGGTGGGAGGGGGGGGGGGGTCCTTCTCCAAGCCTCAAAAAAAGAAAAAAAAATTGGAAAGAGCAGCAACAGAACAAGAAGTGATCACTGCAGGATGAACAGAAACTGTTAAGACATTAAAAGTAGATGTGACTTGCGATTGAAAGAGATGATGGAGGCGCCCTCCGTACCTTTTGACCTCTGCCCTTTCTTTTGCCTTGACAACGTGCCCCATGTGGTGATGTGAATGTGTGAAGACCGTCCTAGGTCCACCTTGGGTCTTTTATTGGCTTTTTAAGCGCATGTAAAACGTAAACAATTTAAGAAACTTATTTAAAAAAAAGTGAAAAATAAGAAAATTAAGCCTTGCAATGATGACGTGGATGTGTTCTTTTATCTTTCTTTTGCTTGGAAGAATTGAGATGGGAAAAAGTGGATTGTTTATGTAATAAAAACTATAACTTTCGTTTAAGGTGGAACCTTTATCCAGTTCAAACCCCAAATGCCGAACCTCATGCCCATGGTTTTTGTGAAGATAAATAACACAGATATTATATACCCTTGCATGTTGACCTCTTTGGATGGTACGAAATAGAACTGCCTTGCTCAAAGATATTTAGAAACCTCTACTGGGACTTTAAGGTAATTTACAAGCCAATGGACCTCATGAAGATAACATGAACCCTTTTGTTGGATTTAAGTCTTTTCAGTGTTTTGTGACAGACGTGTTTTTCAGATGTGGTGCAAAAAGGATGCAAGCAGAGTCTTTGTCACTTGTCTGCTTTCAGTTTAACCCAGAACACAAAATAGGCCGTTTTCAGATAACTCAAGATGGCCACTTAAAAAAAGCGAAACCGATTCATTTTCATGAAAAAACACAAAAGAGACCAGTTAGCAGCTATAAAACCCTCATGTATACTTGTGCTTTATCCTACAGATAAATAGAATGTTTTAACAAGAGGTGCATTAGGATTAACAGTAGACTTGTGGTTAAGACTTGAGTTTGGCAAGTAAATGTTTCTTTTTTTAGCTCTTGTGTCAAATGTATGTGAGATAGCAAAGTCATTGCCCATTAATCACTGTTTGTAGCTATACAGTATGATGAATGTCTGTTGTTTCATCTTGGAGGGGTACATTCACAAGGTATTGCTGGACATGTTGCTTAGTAAACAAATCTGTTCCAATCAGTTATGGGAAATTAGCGCAATAAATATTTATTCATACATGACATAATGAATTGATACTGTTGGACCATAACTGAAACAACACCATTTCAAAGAAGCCCTTTCATTCACGTAGACAATGATAACTGTCAAGATACCCCAAAAAGAATCCGGTGTGAGTCCCAGACTGTCCTTGTGAATCTACCCCCAGTGTAACATCCTGTGTTTCATTTCACTGCCCTTTCCCCGGAACAAAGGTTGTCTGCTAGTGGCCTCCGTGTGTCGCCGACACCACAGATAAAGTTTCCACCTTCAAACGTTTTGTAGGAACTTAAAATGTCCTCCTTGCTCAGTGTTATAGCAGGTGTTACAGAAACATGCTAAAAAAGTACTTTTACTAGACCATATTTGAAAGATAAAGAGTATCTTATCAAGAGACAAAACAGAAACCTGGGGGATATAAGGCGAGCTTCTCTAACTTTGTTATAATTGTATACCTGTGTATGTAAATATAATGCATTCCTATTTTGCAGTCAAGAACAAAATACTATTTGTAATATAGAATAAACTTTATTATGAAACCAAGCAATTCATGACTTTTTTTTCTTATCTTTGCTTGTATGAACCCTCTTGCTTCAGTCTGCAAAGTGTGTGTGTGTGTGTGTGTGTAATATATTAAAATTCATGGTTAAGTATGTCTCAAGAAGGTGTAATTGTACATCATAGCCTACCAGGAATTTATGTCCAACCATCTCTTGGGTTTACAGCGAATGGTCTGGAGAAGAGAAAATATCCAGCAGTTACAAAGTAACAAAATGACTTGTTGATGTCAGAGGAGAATGGGTAGAATACCATCTCTGAACGCACAACAGGTGGATCCTTGAAGATCACACCGAGTGCCACTCCTGAGACTACAATTTGCACAGGCTCACCAAAATGGGACAATAGAAGACTGGAAATATGTCGCCTTGTCTGATGCTGCGACATACGGATGGTCGGGTCAGAATTTGGCGTAAACAACATGAAAGCACGGATCCATCCTGCCTTGTGTCAACGGTTCAGGCTGCTGGTGGTGTAATGGACATGGGGGACATTTTCTTGGCACACTATGGCCCCCTTAGTACCAATTGAGCATCGTTTAAATGCCGCAGCCTCCCGGAGCACTGTTGCTGACCACAGTGTACCCATCTTATATAGATAGCTACTGTCAGCATGTCACAAAGCTCAGATCATCTCGAACTGGTGTCTTGAACACCACAATGAGTTCACTGTTCTCCCATGGCCTCGATCCAGTAGAGCCCCTTTGGGATGTGGTGGAACGGGAGAATTGCATCATAGATGTGCAGCAGACAAAGCTGCAGCATCATGTCAATATGGACCAAAGCATTTGAAGTATTTCATAGCACTATATGCAGTTTTTATAATGTAATAATTAAAAATAGCCATGGTCACAATACATTATGTCAAAAAGTCTGAGCATAATCATAGTATAGCATGTCAAAATAAGTCAAAGAATCTACATTATTCAACATGATACACCTAAGTCAAACATACTCATTGGGATTTTCTTAAGTGGCAGTTTTGTTATCTCACAAAACAAACCCCTTCCACAACTGACCTTTTTGCAAGATCATCTTCACCTACAGAAGCAGGATGACGCGTATCACCAGCCCACTCCAACAAGGCCACCTCGGAAAACCTTCCCTGAGCCTCACAGGGCTTTAAAAGTCAGAGGTAAGCTAACAAAAGACAAGTAAATGGAAAATAGGAGTGACAGATGGGGAAATAGAAAGTTCTGTGTAGCAAAGGAGGGCAGGGAAGGTGTGAAGTGTAGATAACAGAGTGACAACCCGCTGCAGGGGGGGGGGGGGGGCACGCACACGGACCGCAGGCTGCAGCACTCCGGCAGGCCGAGGAGCCGACGGGGATGAGAGATTGAATTGGCCCGGTGTCACCCTCCATATACCAACCGGTGAACTGGGAGTAATAGGTGAGAAATAGAAAGAGGGAAGGTGGAAGGGGAGAGAGAAAGAGAGGGAGGTGAAAAGGAGTGGGGGAGTGGGGCGCCGAGTGTCACCCTAATTTTCTGACTAGTGGGGTGGGAATAATGGAAGGCAGGAGAGAGGCAACTGTGAGGGGTGATGGGTTGAGGGGTAGTGAAGGAGGCAGGATGATATAGAGCCAGCTATGATTGCTTTGCACTGGGGGATGTGGGGGGGTTCCACACTCCCATGATCACCCCACCATTACATCAACAGACACTCATGTGGCAAAAGGAAAAAAAAAGAAAAGATTACATCTGTTCATATTGAGAAAGTGATGGACAGATTGTTAAGGCAATCAGCGCTAGAGGGCACGGAGGGTTAAAGGATCGGACAATCGATAACGGGGCTGAAGCCGTATTCATCACCTTGCCACTTCAGCTTAAGACAAAAGACGATTAGACGTACTGTCAACAGAACAATCCAAAAGACGGAGGCTACTATCAGCTCGGAAGTTTACTTACGAGGATCACAGGTCTGAGTAAAAGGTGCAGGTAAGTAACTAATGTTACAGAAAAACATTGCGCACACAGCTCAGGTATGAGTGTAAAACACTTAACACTCGCAGGCTTTGGAGCATAAAGACTGCAGAGAAGAAATGGATTTAATCTGAGACTCGGAGGTCAAACTAGAGAAGGTGCATATATCTAGAATCCTTTCATATGAACTCACTCCTTTCTTTCCATTTTTCAGAAGGTCGCTGCTTCTGAAAGGTCATCTTTTACTGTTTTACTGTAAATCTCAGATGAGGCCAGAAAACTTTTTGGTGGTTTTGCTCCGGACGTGTGGACAACCGGCCGCTGCGTTGACTCACAGGCTGAATGGATTGATGAGAGCAGTGCAGCTTGGACGCGGGTCGACGGGTCTAATTTCAGGAGTGAACTCGGAGATATCGACAACTGTACGCAAGCAGATGGGGGCAATTACTGAATTCAGCCCGTCCTCCTCCGTCTGCTCCGTCTTGGTAAACACTTGCGTGGCTGGTGGCAGCGGGGATGGAGTTGGAACAAAGACTTATATTTAAAGCCAAGAAACACCACAAACATTTCAGATGGAGAATGAAGATACAAACTAGAGCCTGTGAAAAGGTTTCAGAAGAGTTTCAACACTGAAGGAGCCCGTTTAGTCTGCTGGGGTTAAATCCACGAGCATAAGTATGTGTGTGATAATGCTTCCTAATTACAGGTATTTGGATCTGTGTTCTATTAAATGGATCCAACTGATTACTCTATTAAAATCCATTTGGGTGAAACAGCTTTAAATTGATTTATTCGATTGATTCTTTCCATTTCTCATATGCGATTGGGGCCAAAACACATCTCAGAAACGTTCTGTCCGACTGCAAAACCTCGCCCCCCCCGATGGATTGATAAATTGGCTGGAAAGCACAGGGCTTTGGCACATAGTTATGCCAAACCTTGCCACTGGTCTCACACAACCCTGCCTCCCTCCGTGCAAATACACAAACGCACACACGCACTCTCTCTCTCTGAGGTCTCTCCTTTAAGGGCTTCACAAATCTTCTCTCCCATTTCATCCCCTAATCAATAAAACCCATGCAATTCCTTCTAAACTGCACATTCGCTCCCTGGGCTCCGGCACCGTATGCTCTCACTGAAACACAAATTACCAGAGCCGTGTGAGCCTGTACAACACAGTTAATTGATTATCTGGTTGAGAAGTACATTGAATTGAATATTACTTTATTGTGCGCGTACATGTCCAACACGTCCTTGCTGTGGATAATGGATTAAAGCACACAGGTAAGAAACACGTATGGAGGCATGTACAGGTCGTAGGAGGAGGTTGTGTGTTTCACACTCAAATGGATTTAGCTCAACACTGTGACAGATGTCACTCCAAACCACTACAATGAACTACACAAATACATGAAAAAATAAACTGGATCAATGATGTAGGTGTTTTTTTTCCAATGTGCATGATAACACATTTTAACATTCCTTAAAAATAATTTGATTAGTGTTAACAAATATAAAAAGACAGAATACAGATTTTTTTTTCAACACCATTACTGTGCTTGGAAGTAAAACTTCCTGCTTCAAAAGCATCAAATAACTTAACTCATCTCTAATTAACCCCTAAAAGACTCATTCCACGCAGTTTTCTCCAGTTCTATTTTTATTTTAGCGTTTCTGTCGGTTTCTCTTATCTGTTCGTTTCTCTTTGTCTGGTTTTGTTCTTGTCTGTCATTGTAAAGCATCTTTGGTACTGAGAAAAGCGCTATAAAAAAAACAAAAGTGTTATTTTCATTCCAATTATAAGATATATAGTATATAAGAGTACTGTTCATTTCAACGGCCTGGTCTGTCTGGTCTTGGTCTCAATGCCTCAAGGTAAGACATCCATAATTATACTGATATTAGATATTGATCGACTCAAATGGCTGGATCGTGTACGGAGGCCAATAGGCCGACCATTATTTTGATGTATAAAGACTTGGCTAAGCTATATCCATGTTTTAATTATTTATTTTATGACATCTGGACCCCTCATTGTTTTTCAAGCCAAACATATTCTCAGTTGACATGGTCTGCTTCTCATTGAAGCTTCGGACAAATAATGGCAAAATAAAACACAAATACATTAAACAGTGCCAGTGGCTTCGTTGTTTGATAAACAATATTTATACAATGAAACTTGGGCCATAAGCACAGGAAAAAATATAAAAATCATGCATCAATCACTGTCAAAGGGATCAGTGTTTCTGTGAGCTGATCCGGTGGGGAAATACACAAAGGGCGGACCACTATCACAGTCAGCCACCTGTGGGCTTTTGCCACTGGCTTCCCACACTTCTCATTCCCACCACGTTAGCCCGTCTACAATGGACAGGTGCCCATCAGCTGGGCTCCTTCTCCGAGAGCCCACTGAGGCACGATACACCACGCAGAATCCCGGCAGGCGCACATCAACGCAAATGATGCCAGAAAAGAATGCCCTCCATACGTAAACAAAGCCAACCACGTTTTCACAGCTTCTTCGGCACCAACGTCATGAATATGTATAACCCTCTGGACCAGAATTTAGCAGCCTGTGCCATTATTTGCTGCTTTCAAACCCTCAAGATGTCAACACAGACAGAGGGGCAAACAAATCTGACAACACAGTGTGGGCCTGCAAACGGCTTTAGCCGGTGAACCCGGGCTGAAAATGGGCTCGTCCATTTTTACCACTTCACCTTATTTAACAGAACAGTGACAATAAATGTGACTAAAAGTTTGCATTTCAAGAGGCTGACTTGTCAGGAGACGACAGCTTGCTGAGAGGGCACAGATTGTAAAGGCGTAGGAAGGATGGCAGGAAGATTGTCCTCTAATCCAATTCAGCGGCAGCCATTTGAATAATTGATGTGGGGACATAAATTGGTCCATTCCAGATGTCCCCTGGTCCCTTAATCAATACTGATTCCCTTAATCAATGGTTGGCTGGCCAGCACAAGGCTCTGGCTGTTCTCCCTCAACGGAGACCCACGCAGCCAAAGCTTCCCACAGTCCGAGTCACAGGTGGTTGGCGGCGAAGTGGC